TATTCGGTAAGATAACACGTTTTCATCAAATTGATGAAACTGTTTATTGATTTTTCATTAACAATATTTGATTTCTACTATTATGTTATGTGTAGTGGTTCAAGTCCTAGACTACTAATGCAAGATTTCTATCCAACTAGCCTAAATGAATTGAGTGAGAAAATCAAGAGATTTTATTGGTTTGAATCCGAATAGTAAACAATATGTGTAGATCACTATGATTCTTAGAAAATTTAGCCACATTTTCAATCAATAGTGTACATGTTTCTTTGGAAAATGAACCCAAGTTTTGACTGATAGAGTAAACTCATCAAGATTTCTCATTTGGCTTATATCGAATTGAATCACCGTATCATGTACTATTTAACTCCCTCCATTATTTTATCAGAATATTTTATTTATTTTAACACATAGATATTGGTACAAGGAGGCATCAAATATATATGCGCCACACAAGTCATTTGATTTGTGTGTGGGCTGAAATACTGCCCGGGTGCTCAAACCGAAGCAGGTGTAGTTTTTTAGAGGGTCACACCAAGAGCCTTCAACATAAAGGTCTAAACCACAAGGCAATGGAGAAATGTTAGGGCAGATTAAATATTTATAAATTGTAACCTGAAATATTTTATTTCATCAGAAAACTTTGTTGAATAAACTTAGTGAACATATTCAGTACAACTGATACACTGAAATTGAACGGTTGAATTAAGTAATTTCGTGTTGAATACAATGTCGTGGTATCTAAGTAGCTGAACTGTCTACGTTTCGTCCAAAAAGTCCTTAATGCTTTAAGAGTTTCAGGTCGATCGTGTGCAGCAGTTTTCATGTCATGACATTGTTGAATAGGATTTTATTCGTGTCTTTGATGGCTGATATGCCGCATGAAGAATTTTTCAGAAATAATTCATTCATTTTACAGTTTTGGCCGTTATAACCAGAACTGAACTGACAAGCAGATCTTGCTCTTTGAATCGCTAACTATTTGTTTCAAGTGCTCTAGTTTTATGAGACAAAATTTTAATACTAGTGGGGAAAAAAGTATTTCTGGTGTAACAAATCTAGCTTTATCCTGTCGGGTTTGTTCAACTCAAACAAACGTGATATCCACAAAATTGAGACTACCACTATCTATGGTTAGGTCAGATGGTGATCCATGTAAACGTTGTGCATCAGTGAGAAAAGCGTACCTTTCTAAAATGTAGAGTCAGTTGGAGGCAAGAAATGTAGAACTAATAATAGACTAGACGCTTCTGCCGCTTGATTATTTCAGATTGCGCAACGCTAGGTTATCGAACAACTGTTTTTTAATAAGTTTTAGTCTTCTTAATCCTAGTGCTTGTTCTTTGGTCCCAATTTTTCTTCTCGAACCAAAACCTAGTACCCTGAGCAAACAGGCATTTAACTTTGGGCTACCATCTATTTTTGTATGGAGCCTAGCCATGCCGAAAAATGAGATATAAAGGAAACAGATGAACAAAATATCAACATTTATTTCGGTTAAATCTAATAAATAACAAGAAAGTACCAAGGGTTACTGAAAAGCGATACTGTAAACGCACATAGAATAATAAATTCCCTAAACACAATGAATTCAAGACGATTCAGATTCATCAATAAATACGGACGAACAGTTAAACCAAGCAAATTAAAATTTTACGAGAGTAAGAGTCTTTCCTACAGTCAGAATAAGAATGGATCAACTGACCAGCATCAAATTACGTGATTCTCTGCAACAATCAGAGGGGAGTTAAACACAATTAGAAACACGAAATTTAGATACGTTTTTTAGGATCTCACATTGAGAACTGAAAAAAGGTAAATAATCAAACTGCAACGAGATGAAATGTTTGACTTGCTGGTTTCTCCTGTAGGGGAAATTATGTGATTTCATTGAGATCATAAACCGAAGCAAGTTTGACTAACACTGAAAACATGTATACGTTGGATGTCCGTTTCGGCCTGGAGTGCGACTCTTCAGCAGTGAGCACCCACGATCCCACAAGCGTGGACCAAACCAGAACCTTTTTTCGCGCCAACTCTTAACTCCCAGACCAATGAGCCGGAATCCGACGATTTCAATGTCTAAATTCAATCAACCCACAACAGTGCGTGAGTATCTTCCGTTGCATTCGATAGGTAATTAACCGCCTCATACCCGACACTAGAACTCAATGAAATTCAACTATCTCCACAAACACTTACTGGGAATTTAAAATGTTAACTAAATAAATATTCATTTCTCAAAATTCAGTATCAGTTTAGAGCGTATTCGAAAGTTATGTTTTATCTATGTCTCATTTAGTGGGGCCCTTTATTTCTTCGTCATTTAGATTGGACGATGTTTGTTGACGGGCTCTCCACTTAAGTGACCCGGGATCCGACTCCAAGTAGATCGTATGAGTGATTGCTGTCGAAATATATATGACGCCTATCCTCGTGTATTTCATCGACTCAACCCACCTTGAGTGAATAACGGAATTAAATAAGTCAAATAACGAGAATGGACGTTTGAATACATATATTTTGAATATGAAGTGAATGGAATAGAATGAAGCGAAACGACGAGCAGCGGAGATGGCGGATAAGCCAACTCCCTTTAGTCAGGCGTTAATCAATATTTACAGTCACAGAAAAATAGGCTACAGACATGTGATGAGAGTAATGGGATAAGAAGTGTACACACATATATGTGCTCACATAAAAACAGTCAAGATTGATAAGCGAATAATTAACAAGGTCAAAATACTACTCAACTAGGGTGAATGGATTGGCCTGTCCGAAAGCTAGAATAAAGTATATGGGCTTAACAGGACAATCGACAGTACAAGTGTCAGAACTAGCTAATTCAACTATAGAAACTGGTTTTTTTTTCATTTTTATCCAATATAGTTCATTACAAAATTTAGAAAACGTTCACCTAGTACCTTAAAATCAGACAAACAACATTTCGTTTTAGTGGCGTTAACATAAACCCTAGCTTTAGTTATTCAGTTCAAACTTAGCATATATTTAGTATCTTTCTGCTTCCTACAGAAAATTAGTCTCATTTCTCAGTTCAAGCCTGTTGTTAAGTTGCATAGTTTCTTTTTGACCATTATGATAAATTAGTAATTTTTTAAAAATACATTTTGTCTTCTTTTTTAATTTTCCAAACTTTTTCACATTAAGTATTAGTTTCCTCAATAAATTCATTAGATAGTATAACCGATTCTGATGATCTAGACGAGATAATAAATGAAGAACCAGAAAATATGGTAACATTTTATCGACAAGATCGTTCTACACTATTTCCACGAGTTGGTAGATCAGATACAAGGAGAATGAATAGATTGAAACGAATTCTAATGAACAATCCAGGTTTCACTAACGGTTCACCGAAACGAGCTGTTCGTATTGTGCGCTATGGAAAATAATAAATTGATCTTTGATTCTCATTATTGTGTTGTATGCTAATTCTTACATTAAAATAATAATTATTAATAAAATATGAATGTTGAGCAATGTATGATCAATAATTAATTGTTCTTTATTGAAGTATGTTTTTATTTATTGTTGCCAAATCAAAGAGTAAATAGTTGTACTGTAGTGAAGGAGAACACAGGTGAGGACAACCGAATTATATTTAGCACAACATTACAGAGTTACTTGGTAAAATAGAGAAAACATACTATAATACCTAATTTGCAAAATGTTCAATAATTGTCTCGGACTTCATTGTTCTTGCATTTCTATACTTATTGTTTACTATTCCCGTTCTTCCTTTCTTGATTTTCTGCTGCCAGACATTACATTCCTGACTCGCATTATATACTACTCATATCAATATAAGTAGCACGCACTACAGTACTACACTCTAAGAGTTGTGTCTGATACAAATTACGAAGAAATCTCTTCAAATGTATCTGAAATTTTATTTCATAAGATTTACTGACAACAATTATAAAAACGAAATAAATAAATAGGAATTCTAGGATGATGTCATGATTATGATTGGATGAGTACTCCATTATTATCACCGTGGAATTCGTTATATCCTAGTGAAGATTACATTACGAGTAAAGTCTGAGACTTATTAATGGACAAATATTATTTATATATTCTTATGGTATAAATATTTAGTAACTAGATTATGTATACCTAAGATATAACAGAATTATAGGACTGATTACAGATCTAATGTTCAATGAAAGAATTGGGGCGTTGAAGACACTTGGGAACTGACAGTACTTTATGAGGTGCATATACACAATAGAAATGTGATTTACAATCTGTTGTGACGTCCATTCATCACTTGGAGAATTTTAACTGATCCACTATATTAAAATCCTAGAAAATGTCAAGGTTGAGCCTACTACCTACCAGTTATTGACTAAGACAATTATAGTTGATATACATAGCACGACTAATAAACAAGGACAAAGTTGAGCAATTCTTGAAATAACAATGGAAAAGTGGCTATTTTTCCCATGCGGATCCTAACATTATTTATGAAGATACATTGACAGTTTTTGATGTTTAAAATCACAGAACTAACTCTGTAATTATTCATTATTATGGATACAGAGTATTATTTCAATCCAATCATCAAATCTTTACTATTACATGTTAATCCGAACACCAATTTAATTGAGGTATTAAAATAATAAATTATTTATTCATATCACCCCCATCTTCTGATTGGCCAGAAATAAACTTGACATTCTTAAGATCATCTAAGAGTTGATAAAGATAACCATTATATACTTTCATAATGGTTTCTTAAATACATTCATGTAACCAGGGGGGGGGTTACAAAAAAAGCCGTATCAATATTTTTTTGTTTTTTCTCATTAAACTGAATCAATAAATGAGCACATAGGGGTATAATATAAAAAAATTGAAAAATACTACTTAAACAATACAGAAAAATACTAAATTTTGTTTCAAATATTATAAAAGAACTAGAAATTATATTGTTGCTTACAATATAAAAGCCAATGCACATTTAATATTTGGAAGTATTAAAAATTTATACCGAACAAAATTTTATCAAACTGTACACCTGAGTCTATAGGGATAGTCACTTTGGAATCAAAGTGAACGGAAAGACGAGCAGCACCATAAGCCGCACTATGCTTTAGTTGAACTAATTCTAAAGTCCCTGTCCATTTACTATCTTCAGACGGTTTCAGAAAATCTTTAAAACCTATTTGAAATAAAGAGAAAAGAAAACTGTGAAATTAATCGAATTATTTTCCACTTTAAAATGTACCAGAAAGAAGGCTCAAATAATGAGACAATGTCAAGTTATATCAAAAATAGAATGGCTTATATCTATGTAAATGCTGACTGTGAGTCCTAGGTTCGACCCCGATACGGTCCTGGATGTACACTGCTGAACAGTTCCATAGCAGGTCGAAACAACCATTCAGTGCTCCCTGTTCTTCAGTGGTTGTCTAACTAGAGCCTATGACACAAGCAAGAAAACTTAAAAATCTTCACAAACCGCTTACACTAACCACGTGTTAAGTTGATAGTGATTATTGTTAATTATGATTTAGAGACTGTTGCGTGAAATCCATGACTTTGATCATATTCAGACCGATATGATTAAGTATGACAAAGACGATAATCGTATTGGCACTTTTAATATTTAAGGAAAAAAGCAAGTTGTTTAAGTCAGAAATGTATACTGAAATTAGCTGTAATTCATATCACACACTGTAATATTACTTCGATTCGAACTACTGAGGCTAACAGTGTTCGATCACAGATGCCTCCAAAACATTTCTAGCGTATGTTTGGACAATAAAGTGAGCAATGTTCAAGTTAAATGAGGGGTACAGGGTACAGATGACGAATTAGTTGGAATATAGATTAAGTAAATCTAATCACCGCATACCTCAAAAGGTAATGCTTGTCAGCGTAAGAGTAGATCGAAAAAAGCTAGCAACGACCAAATCAAGATATAGCACTAGGCCATATATTCCCAACACTTACTTACACTTGTTACCCCTCATGGAAGAGCATAGGCCGTCCACCAGCACAGAGAGAGGCAATAAAATACAATAATCTTTGGATACTAAATTTTATGGCTAAAAAAGGTCGTTCAGTTTCAGCCATATATAATGGATTCAATTCCCGATCTACAACAACCATAACACTTCAACTCTTTGGCTGGAAGTTAAGTGTCTAGACGATAGAGCCATTAGTTGAAATACTCCAAGAATCGCTACTGCACAACAATTTTGTAGAGGTAATTCGAAGTTAACGTTAAAAAAGAAATAATGGAAATAGGATAGAAGGGATTTTCAATAGGACGAAATTTATTCACCGTTTTGGCTACAAAGCATTCCTACATCAATATAGTAACTTGCGATGAAAACGTTAATGAATAATTTGCAAAGTCCATTACTCAGGTTAAAACCGTTTTAGTAACCGTAGTATTATTAGGCTTTTTCATTTTAACTCAATTCATAATCAAACATTGATTACCGGTTGGCTGAAAAGCCGATCGACGCTGTTTACATACTTTATTCATTTCCATCGAATTCTTTTATTACAGTTTAATTTTAAACGTTATACAAAACGGGAAATTACCATCTCTGATTAGATCCCAACTTTTGAATACTGAGCCACAACAAACAACTGTTAAGTTTTGATTGGAAGACATTGAATCCTATTATGAGAAAAAATGTTGAAATAAGAAAGTAGGAAACATACTAATAGTATATAAATAAGTAGTATGTGTTTTCATATTATTATCAATATAAAGAAATTTCAAGAACTGACAAATAAATAAGAGAACATACAAATGATTTATCACTGATTAGTTGCCAATGGCATATTTGTCCAGCCTCTTCTTAGCTCCCGATCGAATACTATCGACCGTGTTGTAATTTGGTCGCTATTCTAAATGACTTAATATTGAAACGCAGTGTTCAGATGTCAAGTGGCTGGAGATAGTCGGTCGGTAGAATTCAGCCAACACTTAAGAAAGGACTAGAAAAACATGACATTAACAAATGCTCAGCTATCAATCAATTGTAACTGTCTCAGATATCGAAGGCCGCCCAAACAACTCAGTGGTAATGCTTCAGATTGAAACTGAGCGATGCGGGTTTGAATAGCACACAGAGCGTTAATTCCTTTTAAATTTCAGGTGAACCTTGTTGACGAGTGTCAACTAGTGCGAACACTAAATCTAAGATTTACTGCCAACTACCTGAGAGACAAGAAGGTTTAATTTTGCAGTTAATAAAAATATTTAAATTGAAAAAACAGTTAATAATCAGTAAAACTTGAGAACAAATAGTCTTAAAAATAATATTTCTGGAGACAAAGCTGAGTCTAGAAAAAGATATGTGATATCACTCTTCGTCTACAAGATTTCGATTACCTTTGTAGCATCCGATGACTGAATAATCAGGATACAAGCTGATTTACCAGATTCTTAACTACAACTAATGATGTCAAAAGAATACACAACGAAACAAAAATAGATTCAATACTTTAGATGTTTCATTCGATTGTTTGTTTTAAATCGAGATGGTGGGGAAGATTTGTAGCTTAGGTGGATGATCGTGATGGAGTTTTGTTTTCAGAGCTGGATAGTTTGGTCATGGAGCTTTCATCGTTCTCTTGAACGACGCCATCAGCGCAAAGTTCAACTCAGAGAACAAAACCTCACCAAAACAAGTGGAATCAAACATAGTTTTTGTGACAGATAGCTAAGAGTTAAAGACTTATTAGGAATTCCAAAAGGTATTGAGCAGGTGCTTCGCCACTAAATTTCAATCAACTGAAGTTATGTAACTTAAAGTTTGAGTGAAATGAATTAATAAATGAATCGAAGAACGAAAACTTGAAATCATACTACGTTAGTCAACTAATTTGCACATAAGTGGTCTTTATTTCTCACATATTTAATTAATTGATTGGTAATTTTAACTGATAGTGATAGATATTAAAAAAGATTAAAATGTATCTGCTGTAGCAATTACGCTAATAGGACATAATGAAAGACCTACACATTAGACTCCACGAATAAGTATTTGAAAAAAATATTGATTTAAAAGGAATGAAAGGTCTATAGTTGAGTGTTGTTGTTGTCGTTGTGTACGTTGAACTATATAGTTAACTTGTATAGCTTTCATAGTTGCTCTGGACAATACTACTTCATGAACTCTATATAAAGTAGACGATGATAATGCTGTCCGAAACTAGACTATGAAGAACTCCAAAACTAAACGATTTACTTTAGAAAACATGAAATCACCAAAAGCATCCACATGATCTTCACACTTAAACTACATTTTTAGATAATGATACTGAAATATTAGATTAAGTAGTCTTATACTGATATTCAAATCGATCATCCACAGCCTAATTCAGTATGTAATATTTATTTGTAAAATATTTTATTCAATCTTCATTGACTTTACTCAGATGATTGGTATGCTGAATACGAGTTGGCATTAATCTCTACTCTAACCAATCAATACTGGATTATTTGTAATATTTTACAGATTATAAAGTAACTGAATGGTTTCCTTGAAAATGTTTAACTATGGATAATATTATCATTCACTCCTCAATTCGTTATTGATAGACTGAAGGTATTAACCATAATATTATTTATTTATTTAAACACATGAACATTGGTACAAGGAGGTACCAAATATATATGTGCCACACGAAGCATTCGATTTGTGTGAGAGCTGGGATACTGTCCGCGTGCCCAAACCGAAGTATGTGGTTTCCTTACGGAGTAACTTCTCGAGCCTTTGATCTAAAGGTCTAATCCACAAGGCAATGGAGCAACGCAAGGAGATGCAGTCCTATGGTAGCCGGTGACCAATGATTAGTTTATACGCCATTGGTTCCTTCAGGGTACTGAAGCCCATGTGAACTACTGGTTTGGAATGAGGGTTTTCCAACTCCCCTAGGTGGACCACCAACCCGATTAAAGCGCCGGACATTTCCTATCCATCCTCTCGATTTCGTAAACAACAGTAATGCCGCGTAAAGGCAGTGAGTAAGACTTCCCTGGCAGTGTTGTATGCATGTGGCTATGTGAGAACATTTCAAGAGAGAGAGAGATAGGTGACTCTCTCCACTCTTAGCCATACCAGGGCATTTGGGGTCAATATTCTACATTATGGCATGATGATTTTAATTAATTTTATGTTATCAACATTAAGGTATTTTAGTGCAATTCTACAATGACACTAGATAGTATGGAGATACAGGCTCACATTTACTAACTAAAAAGAAAATGAATTTATATTACAAGAATAAACTACTACTTTAAATGTTAGAAAATCAGGTGGTTAAGTCAGAGAATGATTGCTTAAGCACGAATGATACTGAGATAACTGATGTAATCAAATAATTATGGTATGATTAATACAACAGTTAGTGTATTACAATTGATTGATCACTGGGTGGTAATCAATGTCATGTGTGTCAAGTCCTTCTTAGTGCAGGTCGAATGCTATCGACCACCTAGAGATCAATCGATTGTGATCATATCTCAGTCCTACAGGGGGTCGGTCGCGGCCCGGATAGCTCAGTGGTAACGTCTCTGGCTGTGAAGCTTGGTGACACGGGGTCGAATCCGTCGGGGAGCACTAGTTCCCTCAAGATTACAGGTACACCTTGTTGACGAGTGCCAAGTAGCACGAAACCCGGGTCCAGGGTTTCCTGTTGACTACCTTCAACGACCACTTCACAACAGATAGTGTATTAACTAAGAAAAAGACATTGTATAAATGACTTAGAATTATTTGACACGATTACAATTTGATTGATATTTGAGGTCAAATGTTGGAAGTACGGTAATATACAGTAGAAAAGTGAATTAAGTAGACAATCGTTTGATTGGATAAAATATAATCAAGTTAAAAAAGAAAATCTGTTTGACCTTTCATAAAATAGATATCATGTTTTATTGTGATCTATATCACCATTGTTAATCTTAAGGTCATTTGGTTAATTGTGATAAATTATTAAGATAACCAGTGTGATCTTTTTTGATGAAGTTTTGTTCTCTGAGCTGGATGGTTTAGTCGTGGAGCTTTCATCGTTCTTCTGAACGACATCATAAGCACAAACTTCAAGTACTTCACTTCTACCTGAAGTTTGTGCTGATGACGTTGTTCAGAAGAACGATAAAAGCTCCACGACTAAACCATTCAGTTCAGAGGATAAAACTCCATCAAAATTATCCACCTGAGCAACAAATCTTCTCCACCATCTCAAAAGTGTGATCTTTATAATGATTTAGAATGAATTTCGCGACCAACTTTCAAATACGTCTTCTAAAGAATATGACTTGATGAGAGATAAATAAATATCATAACAATCAGATAATGAAAAACAAAACGAAACACCAAGTCTACATAAAGTTTTTCTTTAGAAAAAATCGTCAAACATTTCCCGAAAGACTTGGAGGTCCTAGATTTGGTTTTTGGTAAAGTCGTGAGTGTGTACTAATGAACAGTTCCATATTAAGACAAAACAGCTATGCAGTGATTCTTGGTTTACTATGATACCCTAACTGAGATCAGTTTGTAAAGAATACATAGTACAGATCAAACCGATTTCCACAATATCCTTCAGCTGAAACAATTTACTTGTCCGTTTCTCAGTTTAACTTTAACACATTTGGATTGAACTAAAAAACGGGTGAATTATTCTATCTATTTATATAGGACAATTTAAAACAAATCTTAAACAGGGGTTTTGAGCTGGATTTTATAGCTCAATTGGTAGAATAAAAACAACATACTGGTAATCTAGAGATCATGAATTAATCCTTATACTAACGTAACATACCCAGTCTGTCCTCATTGTTATGATGGCTTGATAAATGTGATGAAATTCTGAAAGGACTTGAGGGGGTGATTCAACCGTAAGAATTTCAAACACAAAATTGAATATCAATGAATATTATGTAATTAAAGAGATCAATATTTTAACAAAGTGCTCAATCGGAATTGCATGATCAAACCGTAGTGAATGAGAACAAAAATGGGGACAATCGAATGTATATGAATACAAAATTACAGAATCGCATAACAAAACCTAAGAACCATACAGTAAATACTTCATTTGCAAATTCTCCATCAATTGTCTCAGAATTCATTGTTTATTCGTTTTCACGCCAATCACTCTCTGTTCTTGTTCTCTTTTCTTCGATCTTCTTAACCTTCTGCTACCATGTATTTCACTTTCGACTGAAGATACATACGACTTAAATCTGTCGATATCAGTAGCATACACCACAAAATGACTGATCAGATTGACCAATAATAAAACATTGAAAGTCTTACAGTAACTAATAGATCTTTATGAAATAATCATAAACATAATTCCCTTAATTCATCCACGACTTAATTATAATCTAAATAAAATTTACGATGAAGATTGATATTACTGAATGAAAAATGATACATTTATTATTAAATGTAATTACCATAACATAGTAATATAAGGCAGCTCTGACATGTTGAGCCAATTGAACACCGGCATCATGAAACACATCTTTAGCCAATTGATCTCCAGTTCGAGCAACTGGGAGAAAAGAAGAAACATTTGGTAAACAACTTATAAACAAAAGATGCAGTTGTTTAGATCGATTAACTAAGTGATAAATAATATCACGCTATATTGATTACATTTAAAACATAATAATTAGGTTGGTCAAAATATCTGTCAAAATAATCTTTGAACTTGATAACAATGTACGATAAACGTTTAGTCATAATTTCAACGAATGGATAAATAGTAGTATGAAGTCGGTCCCATCACGCACTATTGTTTAGACAACCAAGCAGAATTCTTAACTCTAACATAACAGATAAAACTCATGAACTCATGCGAATCTCTATAGTATATTGAGTAATTTTGATGTACCGTAACAAAATGAAATGCCTTTATTTTGTGGTTGAATTTAAAGAATGTTTAGCGAAATAAGTGAATTAAGGTGTGTAAACATGTTTATTCATTTATTTATTTGAAAAAACAAACATTGGTATAAGGGGACACCAAATACATACATGTGCGCCACACAATAACAATGAGGCCAGTAGCAGTGTGAAAGCTGTGATACTGCCCAGGCACCCAAACCGAAGCAGGTAAACATGTTAGATAAAAGATGACTAGTATGGGAGTAAGTTGAGAAGAGGTTAAAAGTATCGTAGTTAAAATATAACACTATTTCGTTATATTTAAACTTGGATTTGGTTACTTATTCTCTGAAGACGTGGCTTACACTGAGTCACGAAACGTCAGAAGATCTGAATTTTCTACTCATCACGATAATACAAATATATTATTTATTATTCCGTTACTTTATTGACTGACCTTATTAAGAGTACTTAAGAGATTATAGACTAACTGGTTGAAGAATGACACTGAAACTAGAGTACGACCGTAAGTAACCAAGTATCATTTTCAATTCAACTGAATTTTTAACATCTTACTCATGTGTGCCTTTGACTTTCTTTGCTAACATAGTCGTGACCCAAATAAATGCAAATTTCTTCTTTGTGATGTAAAATGAAGTAACTTGAAGCCGAGATCTACTGTACTCAGTTTGTGTGTTAACGCAACTAATATATATAAAGAGACCAATATTGAGATATGGAGCATCAAAATGGAATAAAAATCTTGTGAAGCTATATGATGCTGTTATAGAAGAAAAATGGCAGGTTTGCCCCTGGAATCCTACACTAGATAGTAGACAATTAGATCGGTAAGACTGAAATAGATCACTAAAATATTTTATTATGTAATACATTCGACTCAATTATTCTACAAAACGGTCAAGACTAAGAGTTTATTAACACATAACCCAAAGCAATCAATGAGTGGAATAAAAGTGGAAACAGTAAAGAAATCGATTTAACATATCAGATTAGTTTCTCATATTTATTGCGTCCGAATGTCCACCTCCATTCATCGGTTAATCACAGCCTACTTTGACCGACAATATATCAGGTGGGTTTACTGAGTTATTGAGCGACTAAGATATTTTGCATAAATGACAGTAGTAATCAGTAATATCTAAGCTTGTACAAGCATAAACTGAATGACGACGTTAGTCTTCATAAAGTTGACTAAAAATCTCAATAGTTAACTCACACGGGAGCTTATAACAACATAAAAGAGGCATGGTGATGACATTATAGATTCCAAATACATATTACATTTGTCGAACTTGTATATAAAGAGGTGGTTTGCGAGTAATGATTTTTACGTGAGGTTTTGGACAATGAAACTATAATATAGGGATAGTGGGACCTTATGAAGCTATTTTGGATCGCTACATTTTCATTATAAATGATATATACTATCATCATCCGTCTTACCATGCTCAAACAAAATCGCATATTCTTACTCAAGTTATAAAGGCCAAGTTGTGATACTGTTTAAGATCATGATGCATTTACATAAAAATAGGATCTGGAGTTAGGATCAGGGTGTTCATCTTGAACTGAGATTGACTGAAATACAACCATTTTGAAATTTGTATTCTAATGTTCTAGCATGGCTGTCTTCTGATTGGCTAAAAGTGTCATAATCTTAAAAGTCATTGTTTTGCGAGAGTATAATTTTACACATCAAAAACACAGACAAGTCACTTACTTTGAGAAAAATGTTCACATAGTCCAGCAATTTTATTTTTACTAAAATTAGTGTAGAAATGTTGAAGTAATTCTAGATTGTTTTCTACATTAAAATAGGCATAAATAACTCGACGTACATTATCCAAGTTATAAGTAGCATCTATGATTTTGTCATCTGATGAGATGAGTTTTTTATCATTCGCTGTGCAATCCAATAACCTAATATAATAGAGGGGGGGGTAGGGGGAAAAACAATAACTGAATGAAGTTTTGAGTACAATTTTTACACAGAACGGTATCATTATAATCGTCTCAAATTATTGGATTACGTTTTCATTTGCGTGAAATTTTTACCAGAAATTTACATCAGTTAGCAATCTAATGATATTAACAAACGACTTATTGAAGTTTGTCAATGCTTTGATGTTATATTCCACCTACCGCATAAATGAAAACTCATGAATTCTGCTATTAAATTCTTCACATGATTGACAAGTAGAGTAAATTCCTACGTTTTCTAACTTCGAATCAGAATGGTTCCAAGTACCTTTATTAGTTAGATGAGATTATATCATGTTTGCCAAGACTCTTTAAACGATCTAAGCGGTTTAGTGGCTTGGCTTCATCCTTGAAAGTATCTATGGGAAAGTCGTTCGAACCTGGCGAACTGTAATGCTTCAGAAATTGAACTACCACTTAGATTCAATACGACGTTGGAGTAGTTTAGTTTTATATGCATACCCACAGATGGAAAAGTATGATCGGTGACATAAATTATTCATTATTTCACACCATTCATTACTGTTCACTATACATGTCCCAAATGGTTTCTCTGACTAATTAGATTTCCCGTCTCTGTAATGATTATACCGATTTAAAATTCACATGCAAATTATGCATTAATGACCAAGCTTTACTTGTTTTAACTATAGTTTTCCCTAGACTCTAATTCGACAATATTACGTAAAGTAGTTCGGCATATGTACGAGAATTCGATGTGCCTTCTCGAATAATTATTGGGCGCTCTTAAGTTTAACAGCCATTTTTGTTATTAATGGCTTGGATCAGTTGGAACAGGTTCTGGTAGTCATCAGATCCAGATGTTGTTTTTAACACTCTGGCCACCAGGTTTAAATTTGTGCAGTTTCAAGGACGAGGGATTTATATGTATTATCATACTGGAGTCCCACCCGAGTAAACTGATCCGCGTCACATCTTTGGGGGTCTAAAATAACCTAGTGTTCATGAGTTGAATGTTTTGCGAAGCCACAAGCTAATTTATTTTTCATTTTCATGGTGTCTTATAAATAAATCCAGTGCTCATCAACCCTTCTTGGTGAACTGACAGTTAACCTAGAACCTAGCTTGGTTCCATAGTCGGACGAGATAATATGTGAAGTCAATTAACTTACATCAGTTCATTTGCGATATGAGATATTTGTCTAGTAAAACGCAGGGGTTTACTGTATACTAGATATTGATCCCAATTCAGAAACTGCTACACACGGAGTGGCATTCTTGTACAAATCTGAGAAGTCGGTAGCTGATTGTAAACATTATTCGGTTTATTTCAAGCTAGAGCTACAGAAAGAGGATAAACAGGATATGGATCTTTCATATTTACGGCCATGTTTTGAGTGCCAAAGTTCACTTTAGTCGAAGTTCTCCAACTAAATCAGTGAACAGAAAGTTCCTTGAAGAAGTGATAAACGCGTAATGTTACTAAATCAGTAATCTACACTTCTTTCAACTTAATGTATAACTTTATAACCACATGTAGAAAAACAAGTTGAATGAGACTACCACTACTGTTTTAATTTGGGAGAGAAATTTCTGACTCTCAAATAAAAATATAGAATCCTAGTTTATTTGTTTATTTTTGGGTGGATTTTTTAGGGCAATAGTCAACAACATGAGAAAAGACAACGAAAGTCTTACCTGAACCGCTTTCACCTAGTAAATGTCCATAACCGCCGATACGTTGAAATGTTAGATTTTCTCGTACATAACAACATATTGATCCAGTTCCAGAAATTAATACTATTGCGGCTATATATAAAAGATAGAAGGTAAATGTGACAAATTTAATATGAATTATAATGAAAATATCGTGTGCTCACTAGTGATTAGCTTCGAGAGCAAACTTCCCGGGATTCTAGTGAGAAACTATGACTAGAGGAGCTAAACATGTCGGGTGTGAGGCAGTTACCCACCGAAGATAATGAAAGTTAATCGTATTATTTCATGGATTGATTGAACTTGAACATTAACACCGTTGGATCCCAACTCAATAATTTAGGGATTAGGCGTTCACACGCGGGACAGGTTCTGGGTTAGATTTCTGCGTACGAGGTCGCGAATGCTCATTAATAAGAAGTCCCGCAGTAAGGATGAAACGGCCGTACAGTGCTTGAAGAGTATTAGGTATTACGCACTTACGCAAATTGGTTGCTTGAATCAAAGACGTAGTTATAATACATTGTACCGTAAGCGAAATAAGCTGATATAAGTCATGAAGCATATTACCATAAAAATTGTAGTAAATTTTATTCGAATGAATTTATGACTACCCTAAATGACCATTTCTTGCTTGTTAGGATTCACTGGCAAGATATATTCGTAATTTTGACAATACTTAAGCCGGTTCGAAAATCCAAAGTCCTTGAGGTATCATACAGAGATTTTACTACCAAAATAATTCAGGCTGCTACTAATCCCTGTGATAAATGGATCATATCCTTCAATCGATCATGTAACGGGACCCAATGAATTGGTCGAATCACAAGTGATAATAAACGCCTTTCAATCAATAACTTGGAAAAATGATTGAAACAACTAACCTTTATCACATACCGTTAAATAGGTACCAATACTGTCATTACAGATGTGAATTTCTTGTGCAATATTTGGACAGTGTTTCTTGATAGCATTCACTAGTTCATTTTGGTTTGCTTCAGTATCGGCACCACTCAATGACAAACCCTGGAAAATAGTGTATCAAGTAAAACATGTAAATATAGTAAATATTTGGGAACATTCAATTCCACCCCTACTCCCGTTAATACTCATTTACTCAGTTTTCTACACCTAAGAGAAGTATTAATGTGTGAAAGGGACGGTGTAGACCTGACACTTTTAATAAAAATATAGTAGTCATGAATATTCGGAACACTTTTTTATTAGATTTGATCACTTGCTTTTTCTGACCTTCAGATATTAAGGATGGGGAAAAATCAGTAAAATGCAAAGAGACTGAAGCTTCTGGTCGTCTTCGAGGGTCCAAATGTTTGATAAGTTACGAAATCGACTGAATTAAATTTAAGCTTAAAAACTTTTATCTTATGGCAATTCCTCTGATAACACATGGAAAGGATACATAGAACTTTCTACAATATTCAATTTGATAGTTTTCCTAGACGAATATACTTGTGTCGCTTTTTGTTTTTTTTCTACAATCTTTTATTGTTGGACACACCAGTGCAGTGCTGAATAATGGTGGATTGCAGTGTACTAAACATACAGAGACTTTACTTGTTCCTACATCACAAGATTTCTTTCTATTGCTTAACTTGACGTCTTCCACTAAAAAACACCTTCAGTAAAATATATGCAAGGGAAATCACACCATAACATATACCAATGAATTCTTGTTGGATCGTTGTTTTGAAACAGTTATTGAAAAGCATTAAATGTTGGTCTCTTTTATGAGTTACAAGACGCTCACTTACTGCATCAAAATATCAAATTTGATAGAGGACACTTGTGGCTCACGATGATGTTGGAGTCAGTGTGATCTCTGAGCTACATTGATGCATGTGCACGTAAGTTCAGCAAGGAAAAGTTGAATTATTGGACAGACGAATGATATGTCTTGTCGATTGAACGCTACTTGTTATATATGGTCTCTGATTGTTCTATTGGAAACGCTTATTACTTATACTCGAAACGACGGACCTCTGCAATTCCCATGACGCAAAAGTAAACACACGAAGACTGGTATAAGTGAAGATTTATTAACCTCCAAAACAAGCAAACGATGCTGACAATCTTCTTATTGTACTCTCTGATATCGTTTTCGGCATGTCATATACTTCTGGCCACTTTGTGAAAGCGTCAACAGCAACCAATTAATTTCTGACTTGTATTGAACCGACGAAATCAGCGTGTATTCTTTGCCAAGGTCTGTCCAGTTTCGGCCGTTCGACTGATGATCGTACGGAGATGACTGTAGATGCGATAAGCCGTTTTCATTACAAAACCGTTTAAAAGATGACAATATCTAACATCTTTGAGCACTTTTACGTTCATCTAGCAGGTGAAAACTGCATATAACAAAATGATTTCAATAAGGATTTCATTTGTCATCTAAAGCTATCCAAAGAGGTCTTCTATGAATATGACACTGCAGTTCATCCCAAAATGGATGATGAAATAAGCAAATAAAGTGAAAAATATAGCTTGAAACAAAATCCTTAGTCAAAATTATACTCTGACATACAGAAACCACCCACTAAATGGGCAAGAAAATACCTAGAAATGCTTGATATCGTACACATATTAAACAATGAAAAGTGGATGAGTTACAAATTTACGGACATGTATCATATCTCTCCAAGCATGAGGCGTTTAACGAAACAACTGGTGTTACTTTTAAATCAGAAGTAGAAAAGTCACCAAATTAAGAAAATAAACAAACGCTTATGATAGTAGAGTATCATAATTCATCAAAAACATAATTACTTGAACAGGTGACTCGAATTTATATGAGTTTTAAATTAAATAATCAACTCATCCAGACTCATTAACAAAATGGTACATAAAGGTTATATTACGAAAATCGAGTAAAAAAACATTTTCTGAAAAATACTTACTAGATGGGCAAGTGTTTCTGTTGATTGTCGGTTAGAATTGATTAGTACATCTTTTACGAGGTTCAAAATACGTTCAGCAGCTTCTTCTAAACCTAGTAGCTAATAATTTTAGAAAAAAAGAACAGAAATCTCTGCACTTTTTGGACTATGAACAATTAATGTAGTTTTCTCTGTACGTTATATTTGTTATAGACTAATCTCAAGTGGAGTATCATAAAAAATACCAGGGATTAATATTACAGTCGCTTATTCCTAGTAGAGGATTTTTCAGAACTAAAGAATACAACCTACAAATGGAAGCAATCTCTACAAAACCTTTTGAACAAAACTATAATAATCAACCAACTAATGACTTCAATACATTCATGAATTTATAGTGAGAAGCCATGACTGCTGGAGTTCAGGTATATTAGGGGTAAAACAGTTATACGAAATAGGATTAGATGACCGTCACGTTATATCACACATTGATTGAAGCTAAAATCGCACCATCGAACACTGATCAGGTGGTTTGGATGAGTAGGTGTTAACCACAAAATCTTAAAGTCCTGGTTTCAGTTTCTAGGATGGGCTTCGCAGTATTGAGAAGTCTAATACTACGATGAAATAGCTCAACAGCCTTTAATGGCCTATTAAACGAAATTAATCTAGGACGGATAAAATCGATAAAATGGAACTAATTTCTATAATACATCCTCAACAAAACTAAGATATAAATAAAAATAATGTATTTGTAGTATCTCAATGAGCTAGAAAACTAATTTTTAAAATTTCCTGACGTTTCGTGACTCAGTGTAAGCCACCTCTTCAGAAAATAAAGAAACAAATTAAATTAACCTAAGTTTAAATAGTACAAAGAAACAAAGCAATAACATTTGGTGCGATCAATCGAAAACAGGTCTGGTCAAGTCAGTGTCATATCACTCCGGTCAAAGTGATCTATACGAGGTGTAACTGTATATTTGTGTGTACGTGTATGTATGTTAAAGGATGAAAAATTTGACATCTGTGATGCGAAAGGATAAATAAACAAAATTTAAGCACGCTAGTTAGAAAGAGATGCATGTATGGATCACGAAATAACTTACCCATGGATTTGTAGGAGGTCCTTCAACATAACCTAATTGATTTCCTGAGGAGTCCAGTAAAACTATTCGAGAAATCGTAGCACCCCTACGCACAGTACAGAATAGTAAATGGATCATCACATTAAGATAGCACAAAACATTGTGAAATAGTATGTAAGTTCAGATTGATATATTATAGCACAGAAAAAAAGATAAATATAAAACGATTTTTGGCTAGATGGAGTGAACAAGTGTGGAAATTTTAAACCTTTCAATAAAGCATACAAACGCTTTATTGTTAAAAGGTGTTATAGGAGTGTTTAATAACCTAGAAACAAGATCTTTAAAAATTCACATATAAACTAATATTAAATATGCACTCATTAATTCCCTGGTTTGAGGACTTCACTATACATGACTACTTATTCCTTTATGTGTATATACCAGAAATGTTCTTCCCATTTGACGACTGAGAATGAGATTTTAAATAAATAGCTGATTGGTTTAACTAACCATTTAACTGAGGTTTTCCGCCAGTAGTGTGATTAAAGACCTTTGGTGAGGTTACTTAGGGTTTTACAATGCGCACGAATGCAGATATACATTCACAAACCGTAAAAAAAAGTACTCACTAGTCGTGTTTATTCCACCTACACCTAAGTTCACAGAAATGACTGATAATAACTTCAATGATCAATTTCGGACCCACTAACAATCAATAGCTGAAGTGCTAAAAGAATGGAAATTAATTTTTGAATCCGTATCATTGTAGTAAACCTGTCAAAAGCTGTGAATCACAGCTTCGGAGTTATTCTATTCATAATAGTATTTGAATTCATCAGACGGAGGTTGATAATTGCAAAATGAAAGACCTTTTCAGCTTTTTTCAAAATCCAATCCAGCTCGCTACAATGCCGCGCTTCCCAGAGTAATGCCTTGTTATTCTTGTAAATCTACATTTATTGTTATTAGTCAAGCTTAGTTGCATCCCTTATTATGCGCTATTACAGTCAAGTGTATTTATTTGAACACAAATGTTAGTACAAAGGGAAAGATACATATGCGCAAGTTAGAAACATCCACATTCAAGAGACATGTTTTACATAAGATTTAGAGAACACGAAACAATTACATACTTACCCTTCTATGCCGGCGATAAGTAAAGCCATAGAAAGTTTGGTTTAACAGATACGCCGAAATGTTGAATGTGTAGACTTTTCCAAATCAAAATTCCTGTTTGGTGTTCACTGGCCAATCAGCATCAGTTGGAGAGAAATCTTGACGGTTTTCTAGATAAGTTGCATGTAATACACTCTGTAAAGTAAATTTATTAGAAAGTTTCATCATAATTATGACTATACATCAACGACTGGATAAGAAAGGATAAACCAATATAGAACGCGAATTCGTTCACAAAAGGAAAACTTTTATTCTTCCTGATTACTTACAATGATTTGCAGTTGCTAAGGTAAGAAATCCCTGGTGAATGAATCATGATTCAAAGTTTGCCTTATCAAACTACTGGGGTAAGACTTAACTGTTCTTTCGGTTGTATTCCAATAACATGCCTACACTTCCATTGTCACTCAAATAACGACATTGTTGCGTTATAAGCCAATTGGTATCTTAATTATAAGTGAAATAGTAGACACGCTCACCTACTCCACTCTGCATTATTTACAGCTGAATAGCTTAGAGGTGTCCTGTCCTATTTGATTAGGAATAATTAGGAAGTTGTTTATTTGCATAAGTGAACTATCCTTGCATAAGACGTTGCTTATACTAAACGGCGATATGATATGTGGAGGTTTAACAGGTGGATTGAAGTTAACAAAGATGGAACATACATTTATAACTAATAGGGCATACGACCTTCCACATGCAATTACCTACTTGCTAAAGCAAAGATAACCTCTCCCAACGCTACACTGTTTTCTGAAAAGTACTGGGTTTCATAAAGTTACATAAGTAATTCGTTATGGAAATTTTTTTCCAAAATCTTACTTGGCTTAATAAGTTCATTTACAAAAGGTCAAAAACTACCGACCAATTGTCTATTTCATCACCGATGCAAACAGACCGAACTATTCAGTCTTGTGTCAATAAAATTGTAACGCGGTTATAATCATCACGCACGATGTTGTTAATAGATTCTGTTTTTCTTTCTATTGCAGGGTAACCAAGAATAAATGCTTTGGAAGAAGAAGAGCAAGCTCTGCATGCATTGAACCTACAGGATGACTCCTAAGACTGTTTTGTAAACTAGCTCTCCCTTCTGTACATAACCCGTCTAAATTAAATTAGACGAACCCCCTGTGATTCCAATGAAGGCTGCACCTGGTTCAACCCCTCGCCAACCACCACTGCCTGAAACTTCGCCAGATTACTCCGTCTGGAAATTTAAAGTCACAGCGTATCTACAGAGAGTCCCAATGGCCGAACATCTCAACTACCTCGTATCCTATTTGAGTGATGAAGCAGTACGAAGGGCTTGTAGTGTTAGTCATTAGTTTTAGCCCATAATGTATCTTATTCTAGCTTTCGGACATCCCATTCTATTCATTCTACTCGAGCCATACTTTGACCTTGTTATTTATTCGCTTATCAATCTAGACTGTTTTTTATATGAGCGTATATGTGTGCACACTTCATGTCCCATGATTCATCACATGTCTGTAGTTTATTTTGTCTGCCTATAAATATTGAGTAACGCTTAATTAAAAGAGAGTTGGCTTCCCAGCCATCCTCCCTGTGCGTCATTTTGCTTGGCTCTGTTTCATTCACTTCATATACAAAATATATGTATTCACAAATCAATTCTCGTTATTCGACTTATTTAATTCCGTTATTGGCTAACGCGATTAAGTCGACGATTATATACGAGAATAGGTGATAGCAAACATCCATACAATCTAAACAAGAGTCAGATCAACGGGTTACTAAAGGCCACAGCCAATGGTTTCGCGGCAAGTAACACGCTTCCACAAAACTGGAGAATCTTAGATGACAGTTTTTCCGTGCCCGTGGGCACCCAACAGGTGACGATCCAGTTCTTATCACGTCACCAAAAAGCAAGCGAGAACCCAATCCACCAAGAACCTATTAACAACGCCATGTATGATGATATAACCCGGTTGCATTCAGCAACCTATCCCATTGAGGACTAAGGGGAGATCTAATCTTAATGTACAGAATACTGAGAAATGATTTTGGACCTAACTTATTCTCTCTCTTTCTTTCCACTAGATCGGGACACCTCAGAGGACATAACAGGCGAGTAGAAAAGCCAAGAACGAACAAAATACCCGTGGCATACAAGTTTTCACACCGAGTCATCAATACTTGGAACCTGCTGCCGGAATCAGTGGTGTCCGCACCTTCAATTGACTCTTTCAAGAGAAGACTGGACACTCACAGAAGCATACTAGAAAAGGAATAACATAGGCCGTAGGCCTTCTGTCCTTACTACACAAATCTGAAGATCAAACTCACCTCCCCGCTCCAACAACCTTGAAGAGAAACAACAAAAAAACGCAGATTGATATATTCAAAATTTCAAATTGAGGGCAGAAGGCCTTTTATGTGTGTAAGTATCTTCAAAGTAGGCTTCTTAGATCGTATAGTCCTCTTTTTAGTGATTCATTTGAACGGCTGACACAACTTCGTGTTACAGTTTCAGAGATTGATGATTGTATACTTCAGTCTTCAGTCTTCAGTCTTCAGTAATAAGGATAGTAGGTTGATGAACCTGTGTTAATCCTGACACATTGCTTTCCAGTGAAGGTCCAGCTTTTCCTTGAAAGTATTCACTGATGGGGCTGATACCACTTGTTCGGGTAAGGCGTTCCAATCATTGACTACTCGATGAGAAAAACGGGATCCCACTTTAAGTTTATTAGATCGTGGTTTATGAACCTTCTTGCTATGACCTCGGAGATTATTAGTGCTGGAGGGAGCAAAAAGATAAGACATATTAACACCCAAATCATAATTAAAGATACGAAATGCCAGTATAAGGTCACCTCGTGTCCTACGATACGACAAGGGGAAAAGATTTAGGCGTTTTAAGCGCTCATCGTAAGGGAGACTAGAAAGACCCTTCACTAATTTCGTTCCCACACGCTGGACACGCTCAAGGGAGTTAGTATCCTTTACTAGACACGGGCTAGCTGCTTGGATACAGTACTCTAAATGTGGTCTAACATATATGGGGTATAAAATTCGAAACGTTTCCTCGTCAAAAGATTTGAACGCTCGGCGAAGTGACCATAACGCACGAAAACCTTTGACAGCGGCTGCTTTGCAATGCGCAGTTGTTTTTAAGTCATGACTTAATATTACTCCTAAGTCCTTATGCTCTTGAACGCATGGAAGAGGTTTACCCTCAATAGTGTAACGGTAACTATTACCGTGACCGACGTGCATTAGTACACTCTTCCTAGCATTAATTTCTAAGCCCCACTCTCGAGCCCATCTAACTAAATCGTCTAAATCAGCTTGAAGATCCACATGATCAGCCGCACTTTTTATTGTTCTCCAGATTTTTACATCATCTGCAAACAATAATGTCGACGACCTAAGTAACAGTGGTAACTCATTAACGTAGAGAAGGAAGAGCAGAGGGCCTAAGATGGTGCCTTGGGGTACACCACTTTTGACCGGCTTCCAATCGGATAGCGTTCCATTGACCCTAACTCTCTGTCTGCGGTCACATAAGAAATTTCCTATCCACTCATGTACAGTACCTATTATTCCGAAGCTCGTGAGCTTCTGCATAAGACCTACGTGTGAAACCTTGTCAAACGCTTTGCTAAAATCTATGAATATCACGTCGACAGACAGACCGTGATCTAGGGCTGCTGTCCAATCCTCCCTCGCAATAAGCAAGTTAGTCAAGCATGAACGCTTGTTACGAAATCCGTGTTGCTCAGGAGCTAACAGATTGTGTAAATCTATGTGGCTTAGCAACCTAACCCGAATTATCTTTTCGAGTAACTTAACGACTATGCTAGTTAGACTGACAGGCCGGTAGTTAGATACTATCTGTCGCTGACCGTCCTTAAATATAGGACTAACTATAGCGTCCTTCCAATCTCTAGGGAGTTGGGCGAGTGAGAGGGACATGTTGAAGAGTGTCGCAAGCGGTTTTGAAATAATGTCCGCAAGAGATGACAGCAACCGTGGATGTAACCCGTCAGGGCCCGGTATCTTACCAGGTTTGAGGTTAGTTATCAACGGAAGGACAGTTTCCTCAGTCACCTGTACGGATTCAATGGTTGGTATCTCGGTGTGAGTGGGACAAGTATTTGTTACAATAAACGTAGAGAAGACTTCGCTAAAATAATCTGAAAAAGTCTCAGCTTTTGCTCGATCTGATTCAGCTAGTAATTCTGAATTTTCGTGTAACAGCAACGGGGGAATACCATCACTACGTTTCATTTGCCGTTTAACATACGAAAACAATCGTTTCGGACAAGTACGGCTATCATATACTAACTGTCGTTCGTAAGTGGTACGGGATTTCGCTATGGTTTTCTTACAGATATTACGGTATTTTTGATACTCACGCTTAAATGGTGCATGACCTGTCAACAAGAATAAGTCCCAGAAATGTTTCCTACGCTTTAACAGCTTCCGGGTTTCCTTATTAATCCATGGAGGGCAATGTGATAGCTTACGTGCTGACCATGGGATAAACGGCGACGTTACGGACTCGAATGTAGCCTTAAACTTATTCCATTCATCTTCGATCAATCCATCCGCGTCGACCGACCAATCAGTCGAGATAGCACGGTTTCTGATTTCCGGAATATTAGCTCGCCAGATATTGGGACGGGGTGGAGCAGATACGAATTGTATACCATGTGTCCTAAACTTAAAGTGAATTACAACGTGATCACTGTTCACTAGTGGAGGAAGGTGCTGGATATCAAAGACATCCTCAGAGTGGTGGGTGAGGGCGAGGTCCAGCAGTGACGGAACATGATGCAAATCAATATGTGTCGGTTTTGTGATACATTGTACAAGTGCACACTGAATAACGGTAGATAAAAGGTCGCTATCGAAACCGCTACCTGGAGCTGTAAGCTCTATCCAGTTGATATGCGGTGCGTTGAAGTCCCCAATGATGAGACAACATTCTGCCATACTCCAAGAACAGATGTGTCTTAGGATAAAGTCGTCAGCCAGACAAGACGGACTACGGTATATTCCCCCTATAGTCACTAACCCATTTCTAGATTTAATCTTACAACATGCAACCTCACATGTGCCACTGATATGAGCCTCCGATATGGTTGATTGTATACGAAAGTGATCCCTAACGTAAAATATTATACCTCCCCCTTGCGACTTGAAACTCTATCACTTCTGATACAGATATAACCAGCAATGAAAGGAGAACAGTCTATATCAACGGTGAACCAAGTTTCTGTAACAACGATTATATCGGGACATAATTCTTGCACCATCAGACTTAGCTCGGACGTTTTATTTCTAAGACTACGAGCGTTCGTGTAGCACACACTTAAGGTGTTTTGGAAATCAATCGTTCTACCCATACAGGCCTCGGAAGCATTGGCTTCCAAGACCTGACTACCCGAAAACCCTTAATGGTAAGGTTATTTTCGCCATTTAATTTGCGAGTCCTCAACTCCGTAAGAGCATTCTTCCACTTGATTCGATCCTCAAGCGGCCAATCTGGTCGAATACGGATATTTGAGGCACGAGTTTTTTGTGCGCTTTTCAATAATATGTCTCTTTCTTCGAAACTCCCGAGAACCAGCTTCAGGATCCTTCTTGGTTGGGTCTCGCCTCCAACCCATTTACCAAGTCGTATTACTTTTGTAATATGTACCCCTGAAACCTCTTCAGGTAGTACATTCCTGACCACAGACTCCACTAACTGTAGGTCATGTGCGTGTCTTTTAGCAGGGTCGTTGTCTTTCGACTCCTCTAGATTCCAAATAATTAAACTAGGGATGGGTTTAGCTTCTTTTGAAACTGTGTTCACAGCTTTCGACCGTGACGTTAGATCCTGTATTTTAACTACTGGTAGCTTACGATTAGTTTTTATTTTAACAGAGTCCTGGGAGTCAAGCGAATGACTCACAACAATGTCAGACGAAGCTTTACTATGAGACTTTGGCGGATTGGTCTGAGAGTCCACCAAGGACTTACCAAGTAAACAGTCATTAGTTTTAGCTACCTTTCCTACTCTTCTGCGTTTTCGCGTCATCCATTTTCCATCAGTCGAAACGTCTACATTAGAACAACTCGGGACAGTAATTGTTTTATCTGGGTCACCGGTTGCTGCTGTAGCAATATGGCCACCAACGTCTAATGACGTGTCACTCACTGATCGTTTCGGGGGAGAACGTTTAACTGTGGGTTGCACAGGTAGATGTCTGGCTTGCGCCGTGATAGCACTTACGACACTAACGCAATCTTCGCCATCCGTACCAATGTTATCAGTACAGCCCTCATCAACCTTCTTATTAGCCAACACCAGGAGACTAATTGCTTCCTGGATAAGCAATGTTTTGCTCGAGCAACAAAAACTACAAAGCCAATGAGAGTTGGGCTTTGAACACCTTTTATATGCAGTGGGGCTTAATCGGGTGCACATCTTATGGAACCACTTATTACACTCATCACATTGCATCCCTTCGTCCACGGGAAATAAGCAGCATGGTTGTCCACATTTATGAGTAGACCTAGCCATCTTGAAAATCAACTAGAACGGTGACAAAAACAGGATATGTAAAAGGATTTTCGAACCTTAACTAAATAAACCAAGTAAAAGTCGACCAAGTATGCTTCGATGCAATAAATACACAGAAGCAAAATCGAAAAACTCAATAAAATATCACTTTAACTGGGGTAGATGCAATTAAAGTGTAAACAGTAGTTTTGATGCGTAATTTACGATCAAAACAGTTAATTAACTCAACGAGAAAGAATACCACTGTCCTTTTTAAATAGCGCGGTCTCGAGGCCACTACAGATGCTACAGGCCTGCAGCCTAAACGATGTTTTCAGTTTTTGAATCCTACTAGGTTAGGTATGTTGTTGTGAAAATAATAACATTTAACTCGGTTAATTTCTATCTTAAAGCCCGAAATATTTTAGATTCTTTAGTTGTTACCTCGCAGCAGTGGCCCGTAGTATTGAGAACATGACTCACTATCACATCAAGATCGTTCTCAGACCGGACTATGGGAAATGGCTCCTGACCTGCGGTGTACCTATTTACCATTGTATCTACAATGTAGACATAGACACGCTTGGCCACATTGATAGCCATTAGCCACTTCTAGATCAGCTAATCAGAAAGTACAAGTTCACCCGAACTCCTGAAGTTATTTCCCGCCAAATGTTAGCATCATCGGCGTGATGATGTCACAGGTATTCAGTGTTTGACAACGCTTCTACCAGTAACACCTTCTAACGTATTTCGTTCCCACCCAGAGAAATCAAAAGACAGAGTCGAGGAGATCGGAAGAGTATATTTGGCGATGACCAATATATCGGAATTCTCTGATCTAATCTGGCTAGCGATTGCGGTTGATGTTGAGCACGGCGTTACCACACGTGATCTGGTGCGGATGCCTGACCGAGCGCCTTCAGCTAGATGAGTCCACTAAAACATATGGTCAGCATCCAATGTCGAAAACTTAGTGCTATTTATTTTGGGGATTTATTTACCGCTACAGATCACTCCCCCCCTAGTGGGGCAGTGACGACCCTAAGACGTGGCCAGCCAGAAGTTTAAACCCAACGAGTTTGTCGTTGGTAAACACTCTTCTGATAGCTTACTAAGTGTAGCAGCGTCTGGTCGTCTTTCCTTACTATATGGGACGGAGGTACAACATAGTAAAAAAAGAAAATGTACAATGAAAATTTCGGATCCTCATAAACGTCATCGTTCTTTTCCAGCCGTCCTGGAAAAGAAAAAAGAAAATGTAAGTGCATGTCGAAATACACTCGTATGTGCGTAAAAACACAATGTCGGCGAAAAAATGGAAAATAAACTCAAGCACACGTAATAGCGTTAAAAAATAATTTTGTTTTTTTTTTGGTTTTTTTTAAAAATAAAAATATAAACATATAGGCATATTAAAATTGTTTTTTTTAAAAAAAATTATATATCGTAAAAAGAAAATCGAGATAATATAAAATGTCGAGTAGTGCTTTACGTGCAGTAGTCGTTTAAATGTTCTGGAAATCTTACCCTTCTTCCAGAACGCGTCGTTTTAAGTTTATTTTCAGATACATTCGGAGTATCGTCGCTAGTGTTGGTTGTCGGTTGAGGAATTATGAGTGTTGGAGTCGTGTCGTTCGATTGTACCGAAGGAAAATCGACGTGGATAGGATTTCCTTCTAAATACGCTGCTTTTAAGCGATCGATGCTGATGCTATCGTTGGTTCCGTTCTTATCGACTATATAGTACTTAGATTCACGTTGAAGAACTTTGAAGGGTCCTTCGTATGCTGATTCGAATGGTCGTCGATGCGAGTCTCGACGAACGAAAACGTGTGTACTATATCGTAAGTCAGGTTGAACGAAAACATCAGTTGATTGAGGTCGAGTGGAAGCAGGTTTAACTGAACGCATTGCGTTTGTAAGCCTGTTCGTGTAGGAGGTTAGATCCATGTTCATTGAAGAGGACGAAGGATCCACGAATTCTCCTGGAAGTCGAAGTGTCGTTCCATAAACGAGTTGAGCCGCAGTGTATCCAATGTCAGCTTTCACTGCATTGCGGATACCTAGTAAGACGAGTGGAAGAGCGTCGGTCCACTGTGAAACGTTTGCAGCTGATAGCGAAGCTTTTAGTTGTCGGTGAAAACGTTCTACCAACCCGTTTGCTTGTGGGTGGTAGGCGGTCGTTCGGAAGCGAGTGATTCCTAAAAGTGTGGTCAGACGACGGAAAAGTTCAGATTCAAACTGACGTCCGCGGTCTGTAGTGATGGTTGAAGGGCAGCCGAAGTTTGCTACCCATCGTTCGACGAAGGTGCGGGCCACTGTTTCAGCAGTGATGTCCTTGATAGGTACTGCTTCTGGCCATCGAGTGAAACGGTCTACGCAGGTTAAGAGGTAAGAGTATCCATTTGAATCTGGTAAAGGTCCTACCAAATCCAGATGAACATGGTCGAAACGAGCATCGGGAGTTTTAAACGAGCCTAAGGGACATTTATTGTGTCTGATAACCTTAGATTTTTGGCAGCTTACACAGGAGCGTGCCCACTCCCTCACGTCTTTATTCATGCCAGGCCAGCAAAACCGTTCTGCTATAAGCTTGATGGTTGCACGAACACCTGGATGAGAAAGTTTGTGCAATGTATTGAAGACATTGCGTCGATAATGTTTCGGCACGATTGGGCGATCCCTACCTGTAGATGTGTCACAAAGTAAGGTTTCCTTACCTGTTCCCATCTGTTTGATGCGTAGTTTAAGTGTTGTGGACGATAACTCGTGCTGAAGATCAGTGTCTTCTTTTTGAAGCTCGGCGAGTTTAAGAAGGTCGATTCCTTGGAAACTGTTCAAGGAAGTTATGCGAGATAAGGCGTCTGCAACTACATTGTTTGCTCCAGAAATATGTTGAATATCTGAAGTAAACTGCGAAATGTAGTCCAGTTGTCGAGACTCACGGGGAGAGTACTTGTCAGAAGGAGAGCTTAACGAGAAAGTGAGCGGTTTATGGTCCGTGAAAAGAGTGAATTCACGGCCTTCGATATAGTGTTGGAAATGCCGTACAGCACAATACATAGCTAGGAGTTCCCTACCGAATGTGCTGTACCTCGATTCGGTGTCTAGCAACCTTCTAGAGAAAAATGCCAAGGGTTGCCAGGAGTTGTTAACCCATTGTTGTAAGACTCCTCCGATTGCCGAGTCGGATGCGTCTACTGCGATGCTAATGGGTGCTTCGGTGTCCTGATGTGCGAGCATTGTTGCTTTAGCGATCAGTTCCTTAACTGTGGAGAATGCTTTTCGTGCGGTGTCGTCCAAATTAATGGATTTCGCATTTCCACGAAGTTGGTCGGTCAGAGGTTTCATAAGTAATGCGCATTTCGGTATGAAACGTCTATAGAAACTTACCAGGCCGTTAAACGTGCGTAATTGCTTGACGGTGGTCGGTTCTGGGTAATCCAGAATGGCCGCCACTTTGGTTCTAAGGGGTCGGATACCTTGAGCATCGATAGTGTGTCCCAGAAAGTCTAACGAGTCGGTTCCGAATTGGCATTTCTGAACGTTTACAGTTATGCCATGTTTTTGTAATCGTTCGAAAACAAGGTCCAGATGCTTGAGATGTGTTTCTCTGTCCGGACTTGCGATTAGACAGTCGTCAACATACGCGTGTACGAAGTTGAGACCTCGAAAAACGTCGTCTATGAATCTTTGGAATGTTTGAGCAGCATTCCTTAGACCGAAAGGCATTCGCAAAAATTCATAGAGTCCGAAGGGAGTTATGATAGCTGTTTTCGGTATGTCGTCAGTAGCCATAGGGATTTGGTTATACGCTTTAACCAAGTCGATTTTCGAAAAGACAGTTGTACCTTTCAAGGTAGCTGTCAAATCGTGAATGTGAGGCAACGGGTAACGATCGGGAATGGTTTTCGCGTTCAATCGCCGATAGTCACCAGTTGGACGCCAATCGTTGCTGTCCTTTTTAGGGACCATGTGCAACGGAGATGCATATGGGCTACTTGACGGTCGTATGATTCCTAAGTCCATCATGTGATCGAATTCGTTTTTCGCTAACCTTAGCTTTTCAGGAGCTAGTCGTCGTGCTTTAGAGAATACAGGTGGTCCTGTAGTCGTGATGTGATGTGTAACATTGCTGGTTACACACGGTAGTTTCGGTTGAGTTTGTTGTATCCCAGGGTACTTATCGAGTAGTGGTTGATAGAGTGGGTCTATCATATGCTTAACTGTGACTGGGGATACTCTACAACCAGTAAAAGAAGTTACGCAAACGGACAAATTAGTGTTTCCGTCTACTAGCCTCCGTTTGCGAGTGTCGATGATCAGATTGTGGTGTTGTAGAAGGTCCATACCAATGATTGGCATAGAAACATCTGCAACAACGAAAATCCAGTGGATGGGTTTGCGTAAACCCACGTTAAGGTAAACGTACCTTTTGCCATACGTAGCGATCGGTTTTCCGTTTGCCGCCTGTAAGTTTAGAGTCGATTCGTGAAGTCGGTCGTTAGGATTTGCTGGGAGAACGCTAACTTCTGCGCCAGTGTCGACGAGGTAGCGAACTCTCGTTGTCACATCTGTGACGAATAACAGACGGCTTGTTCGCCGGCTACGGTTGCCGTTAACGCGTGCCGGCTTGGAAGTTTCCCGAATTGTTTTTCGAATCAGTCGGTTTCGTGTTGGGAAAATTGCAGGGTTTTCTGCAATTTCTGGAAAACTTTCCATACTGGTTATGATACCAGCACCAGTCGGGGTTATCTGTCTCTCGTGGTCTAGAGACAGATCGCTTACGAGAAATGCTTCTACGTGGTGTGCGCGATCTCTTACGGTCGGTACGAAGACTAAGATAACGCGTGAGTGTGTGACATAAGTCGGTTATATCATTCTGAGTCGTGTGAGGCTTTTCTTTGACTGAAAATACCTCGGTAGTAGAAGGTTTCGTAATTTCTAGAATGCGGTCGGCAGATGCAGCTAGCTCGTCTAAGGCGTTGTTCTGGAACGAGACCAGAACTGCTTGCACCTGTTGGGGAAGTTTTGACAAGAAGAGTTGTTTGAATAGACCTTCGTCGAAAGTTCTTGGGCCTATAACCTCTCTCATCCGTTGCAACATGTCTGTCGCAGAACCGTGTTGCAGGTCGATGTTATTGAAGAGTTGATCTAACCTTTGTCGATCGGTTAGGTCTCCTCGTTTAAGAATCGAGCGTTTTAAGATTTCGTAAGGATCGGAAACATCACTAGTAAACATACTAGGTGTTACGTACCTGTTGAATTCGCGCGGTAGTGCCTTGACTACTGCGAGGAATTGTGCACGTGTGTCGATCACGCCGTGCTCGGAAAAGTCGGCTTCTGCGTAGCAAAACCAGGCTTCGATGTTGTCGGGCCAGAAAGGCATCAGTTGAAACGAAGGTGGGGACAAGGTCTTAAGCTTGAGTACTTTAGGTGTCTGTTCAGTCATGATGAAATATGAAGTACGATAATGAACGAGGGGAAAAATATATATATATCCAAGAAAAACACGAAAAAAAATCACAATGTTTAAAAAAATAAAAAATAAGGCAATGATATATAAAAATCCCAAAAAGGAACAGACTCACAGTTGCAATAAGGTGTACCAGATCACGACGGTCTCACCAATGATGATGTCACAGGTATTCAGTGTTTGACAACGCTTCTACCAGTAACACCTTCTAAATATTTCGTTCCCACCAAGAGAAATCAAAAGACAGAGTCGAGGAGATCGGAAGAGTATATTTGGCGATGACCAATATATCGGAATTCTCTGATCTAATCTGGCTAGCGATTGCGGTTGATGTTGAGCACGGCGTTACCACACGTGATCTGGTGCGGATGCCTGACCGAGCGCCTTCAGCTAGATGAGTCCACTAAAACATATGGTCAGCATCCAATGTCGAAAACTTAGTGCTATTTATTTTGGGGATTTATTTACCGCTACAGGCGTATAGTATAGTTGTGGACTCAGTTACACTCCAGAATTTATTTTTACATGTAGTACAAAAAGTAAAGTACCTAGGACAGAGTCTTGAGGTACTCCACTGAGTACTGGTTTCCAAGAGGATTATTTGAAATTCATCTTTACTTTCTGCCTACGGCCTACCAAGAAATCTCTTCGGCTGCTTAATTATAGACTGGACCAACTGCCTTTCATATTTTCGCTAAGTACAAATCTAATATCCGATATTGAAAATCTTTGTAATAACCTAGGGCAAACTAAGAAAGTTTTCGAACTCACTCCTTGTAGTTATGGTACGACTTTTACGTCTTAGAAGTGGTCATTAATCGACAGCTTATTCATTCAACGTGACTAGTTGAGGGTTTGTGCATCTTTTAATTTTAACAATGTGTTTGTTTTATGCTTATAATTTTTCAGAGGACAGAAGCTCCTACGTTATAAGGCAACAGGTTTTTGGTAGCGAAATGAAAAACAATAAGCAAATTTTCCATTTTACGCGTTCAAACGAGAGGCGATGGTCAGAAGAACGGAGAAAAATCAATCAATAATGAATTAGATGCGTTAACATTATGAATAAACAGAAGCTTTAGAACAACTGGTAACCATATATAATGGGAAACGAGTAGGCAGTTTGGCTGATGGCATGTAATAATAATAATAATAGTAATAGTAAACAGGTAGTGATATATTCATCAGGTACTTCCCATCAATCGAAAAGGATTGTAAGGTGTTAGCAAGGAACACTGTATAACGGGAAGAGCTCCGTTTGTGTTGGCTGCATCTTCTGTGTAGTTTTAATCGGTTTCCAAATAACCTACGGCTGGCAATCCCAGATTGATTTGTTTAGAGATAGTTGCGAGAGCATTTTCGCCAAGGATATAAGTTGTTTTTGTCACGTGGCTCTTAATCTTAATCAAAAGACGGGACGAATTTGATCTTACTGTTAACCACCCATTTCCCTAATGTCGTGATATTGTTTCTTAGCCTGAGTGGACCAAGATATAACTGCGTTAAAGTAACCCATCACACTGACGTTTTTTAAAAGGAGTGCGTGGAATATCGTATAGTGTTGCTGCTATTAAACAATACGTGGTAAATATGTTTTAATCGACTTTCAGCACAACATTAAAACGAAAAAGGTAGAAACCGAGTTTCTTTAAGCGTACTTGTGGTTGATCGTCAAAAATCTGATTATATGGATTAATACAAAGATTTTTGTCAATGCCTTCACATTGTTCTAAACTGATTACTACTGTTATTTAATGTTAACATATTCATAAATAAGTTTCAAAAGGAAACCATCTGTACATACTGTTTACTTCGTCCGGATTTTAAAATTGTTCTTATTATGGAAGATGTTAGTGTTGTCTGTCTTCCATCGACTGCAAAGTCTAAGAATATGATGAACTATACAGCTTATATTTCGTAATTGATCGGGCTTGCCTGGAAGACTTCGTCGTCTTATGTATAAGCAAATGACGGCAACGACACAGGCATGTCTCAATTTTTCCACGATTCAGGTTACATCTGCTCGCAGAACATTTCGCTTCCACGCAAACAGAACAGGACACACCTGACCAAAATTATCTTCAAAATCCGACAAAATTTTCCACAAATTGGGGAGCATGGAGAGGTACGCAGCAGCATCGATCCGACGTGTGTATTACAAGATAGAGAGAGCTAAATCAATGTTCTTCGCGATGATTTTGTGGTTTCGCTGCAACAAAAGACCAATTAAATATGAGAACGCCTGTCATTCGTGCAACCTAACGGACACCTAACAAACCCACAGCATTTGAAATACGGAGTGACCACCCCTTGTGAAGCCGTTCAAGATCGCTTAAACGGAACGGCGGGCAGACTTGTAAGGGTCTGAATTTTTCCGTGCCTTCGAGTCTCATTGGGAATGCAGTGGTACGCAAGAGCATTATTATTTTCGATATAATATTCACAATACTCAAACAGATTTTATCATATTTAGAAGAATAATAATTTTACGTTATAGAGAAAGAATAAAAAAGATAAAACTTGTGTACATAATTCATAAATTATGTTTGTGAAGGAGAATGTTAATAAACTGTGTTGTATGTATTAAGTGTATAATTTATATGCGACCTTTGAGCAACGCCGAAATAACCTTGAAAATGTCCATATACTTACTAGTAGTAAATGAGTGTTATATACCAGTGCGAAGAACTAGGATTAAGATTTACAGTTGAACGTTAGGGTTAGAATTATATTCATCATGAACTGTTATCAACTATAGTGCCAAAACTCTACTTAGCCAAACGAGCAAATGAATCTTGCGCCAAAATCTAAGACCTGTTATCTTGAATCTGACTAGTTCGTCCATAAATTATAGTTTCATCTTTGTAGTAAGATTAATACTGGAATAAGAGTTTGTGCAGCAATAGTTTAGGATGATGCAATGAAATTCTCAATTAATAGCAGGAAAAGATGGTCAACGATCATTGATCAAATATTATCCTTATTGTTCCGTTGTACTATTTAAACTTGTATTAATTTTAATTCGGTTATTCATTCTCTGGAGTAGTGACTTACACTAAGTCACGAGACGTCAGAAAATCTAATTTTCTACTCATTGTTATATTACAAATGTATTAACTATTTATAACAATCTACCCAATGCCCAATTTATTCGAAATTATCAAATCAAACCTTGGTAATGATACATACAAACTATTAATAAACACCTGTGTCTTCTGGATGATGGCTTTCGTAGTTTTTCAGGTTTCCGCCTCTTACAGTAGAACTGTCTTGACATTTGTATTGAAAATTCTGAATTCGGTGTTGGTCGACAGTTGTTTTGAGTTCCAGATCTTCAGTTTTAAATATGCTGGTCTTGCTTTGCCAATCCTCGCCTTCATATCTGCATCAGACCCAGAGAGTTTATCAATGATGTTGCCCGGATATATGAAGGTTTTTACATCTTCCAAATCTTCTCCGTCAAGTGTGATTCGATTGGTGAAAACTGTACTGTTTCAGAGAATCTTGCTTTTCCTTTTTTTGTGTATGTTCACCATCATATGAATTCTGTATGATATTGACTATCTTCCGAGGTACGCCGTAGTGTTGAAGAAGCTTCCATGTTGTTGTTTTGCCCACGCTGTCAAATGCTTTATTATAGTCAATGAACTTGATGTAAAGTGATGAACTGGATTCAATTATTTGTTCCATAATGATCCGTAGAGTTGCGATTAGGTTTGCACACAATCTGTCCCTGAGTGCTATTTCGACGTTGGGTGGGTTCAGTGGAGCTGGTCGATTCAACAGTTCTTTGAAGTGTTCTACTCACCCGTTTCTCTGTACTTCGATGTTGGTGATTACTTTACCCTTCTTGCTTTCACTGGTCGCTCTGGTTTACGGTGATTTGCCGAGAGTTTCCTCGTTGTGTCTTACAGTTGTCTCATATTTTCTTCTCTTGAAGCCTTTTCCGCCGTCATTGATAAATCTTCCACATATTTACGTTTGTCAGTTCTGATGCTCCTCTTCATTTGCTTGTTTACGTCTGTGTATTCAGCTTGTGCCTTGTCTTTTTCTGCTCTTGTTCGTCTGGTATTGATTGCTGCATTCTTGTTTCTCCTTTCTCGAATCTTATCCAGTGTATCAACAGTGATCCATTCCTTGTGATGATGCTTCTTGTGGCCCAGAACCTCATGACATGATGAAGTGATTGTCTCTTTGATCCCCTTCCAGTTGCTCTCCGTAGCAGTTCCTTCTCCATTGAGTAAACCATGAAAGGCCTGAAACTATTGCTGAGGACTATCTTGAATTTGTTGAGTTTGTCAGTATTCTGAAGAAAGGCCGTATTGAAGATTTGTGATATTGTCCGCCCCGTTGTCCAGTACTTCTTGAGTTTCAATTTCATCTTGGCGACCAGCAAGTGGTGATCTGAGGCTATATCAGCTTCTCTCTTGGTTCCCACATCCTCCATCTTCCTCCTGAACTTTTTATTGATGCAGATATGGTCGATTTGGTTTTGTGTAGTGTGATCCGGTGAAGTCTATGTGGTCTTGTGAAGGCGTATATGTGGGAATATGATGCCGCCCATGACCAGTTTATTGAAGGCACATAGGTTTGAAAATCTCTCACCATTTTCGTTTCTTTCTCCCAGTCCGTGTCATCACATGATGTCTTCATATCCAGTAGTGTCCGTTGTAAGATCCGTTTCGAATGTTTTATGTGTGTGTGAAAATCCCTCCATCTATATACTTGCACTTTGTTCCTGTTGATCCCCTTAGTTGTACACTGTCAACTTTTTGATTACATTTGAACTGTTAATATTTGTATTTTATTATAGTTTTTATTTTCATTACGCCTTCACTATGTCTCCATGTTTCTTCCCGAACTGCACTTATGTTGTTTTACCTTATACTTAGTTTTGGCGGCAGCCATATTGGTTTGTTCCCCCTTTTGATTGCTTTACCTGTGTTGACTGGAACTGTGCATTTTTGGTTGTGAATTGAGGCACTCTTCCAGAATTGGAAACACTCTGTGTAATAAGGCGACCAAATATTATCTTTTGAACGAATCAGTGCGTGGTCTATCCAGACAGGATAGAATAACATTTATTTGTTGTGGTTGGTAATTTTCTTCCATCCTTTATCAACTTCCTTATTTATTGTAATCTAAATTTGATTAATTGAACAATTATTTGTTGGATAGCTGAGTGGTCATATTTGTTTAGGTAATAATGTACATTTAAATTTATGATGAATTATAAAACCTCCATTTTACCCAATTACTTTGTTTTGATTTAAAACGGGCAAGGGCACGTATCTAACCCACCTAATCAGCTGTCCATCTGTCCAAACCTTGGTTTGGGTCTTACATCCGTTCCAAACTTGGCATTGAAATCTCCCATCAAAATGGTCAGGTCCTTTGTTGGGCACTTCTCGATGATTGACTGCAGCCTATTGTAGAATTGATCTTTAGCGTCTTGATTGTAGTCGTTGGTAGGCGCATGGCATTGGATGATGTTCATTGAAATGCCTTCTTTCTTTGTTTCGAAGGAGGCTTTGATGATCCTGGGTCCATGAGATTCCCACCATATAAGTGTATTTTGTGCTCGTTTGGACAGCATCAATGCAACTGCTTGTGTATGTGGGGCATTTTCCTCTTCATGGACGGAGTATAACAGAAGCTCCCCTGAAGCTAGTCGTTGTTGTCAAACTTTCGTCCAATGGGTTTCTCTGGTCCCAAGAACCTCTAGGTTGTCTCCTCATTTCTCCAGCAATTTGGGAGGCTCTCCCGGTCCCCCAGATTGTACGAGCATTCCATGTATCTAAATAAATGGTTTCTCCGGTTTTCAGAAGGGGCATCGGCCTCGTGACTTCCGAAAGAACTCGGATTTCATCATGAAACGTCATAACTCTTCTAGATGAGGACTTTATGACTCCCAGGGCAGAGTTCAAGAGGTTTGAAAATTTTTTTCTGGTTAGCATGTTCTTAACGAGTTATTTTTCTACGGGATGGGGTCGCTAACACCATGCCCAACCCTCCTTCTTTATCCGGGCTTGGGACCGGCAGTAGCCTACAGAGGGACTCCAGGCGGAGTCAGGGGCTATTTTTACACGAATAAAAAGAAATGATCTCAAATGTCAATTCATTTGAGTAAGTATTAGCAAATAATTTGTGTTTTAAATTAAACATTTAGAAAGAATAAATATAAAACTTGTGTAGAAGGAAAAAAGAAGAGAAAGAGAGAGTTATGTATGGAATGGAAGGAAACTTCGCTATACACTCTATCAACCAATGATAGCTTCAGAAGTAGAAATAAGTATATATTAACGCTTGGAAATTATAGCATTTTCAGTTAATCAATGTGAAGAGTAACGTTATTTTAGGAAAAAGTTATGTGTCTTTTATAAGTTGCTTAGACTACTCATGCTTGTGTGGAATTCTAAAATCAAACTACTAAAACGTTTAACCCACCCTTATAATAAAATCAACTACACTTATATTCTAGACTGCAGTGGATTAGTTCAAGTTTGATACTACACCGGATAACATACAATAGCGTATTATACCTTAAGGGTAATATAAACCATCTTTCTAATCGAATTAAACTAAATATCTGCAAACTAATTCATCCATTTCATCAATTATCTATCATTAAAAGGGGTTCATAAATCAATCGAGTATATTTAATGCTCAAGTAAAATTAAGAGATTACAGGTTATCCAACACGTTAACTCTATCAATCAACGTTATACTGATCATAATATCATACATTTTTACAAGAAGATGAATTAAATTTAGATTGGACTATTTGCATTAAAGATCCTATTGAAGATAATTACAAATAACGTGAGTTTATAAAATGTAAATATATAAATATAATGAGAAAAGGAAACATTGAAAGTGACAAGGTCAACAATTCATATTGGAAAACAGAAATAACAAACAAACAAACAAACAAAAAGGACTGATCTTATAGAAGTCCATATCGTTCAAGATGATCATGAATAAGAAACCGGTGACAACCTTGTAGGATATGATGCATTGTGTTAGTGTTCACAGCACATGTATAATAAAATAAACATATTCGTTTATCACAAAATGATGTTGTACCACGTTTTGTCAGCTCCTAAGGAAAAACCAAAATATAAATATTTTTGTTTATTGTTTATGAATTCACTAAATAACTTCAAGTTGAGAATAGTGAATATTTATAATCTTACGAAACATCTTGGTGTAGTAACCTACTTTTGTCAAGAGAACGCGATTGGTATGATGAAAAAAATTACTAATAGAACCAGTTGTACCAGTGACTGTTTTACTGTAATTGTTTGTTTAACTGTACTAAAAACATACATTGTTCCGTTGACTGTGACTTTGCACGCTCTCGCGTACGCTCAGTAATTCAACTTGTACTCTTTGGCACGATCTCAGTATTCTTTTGATACCACGAGATTAACAACAAATACATCTTACTACAATCTTAAATTGCCTTCTGATATTGGGCCTACCGAGGGATGTAATGCAGTAAATGGCAGTAGTTTCAGTTTGTTGGTGATCATAGTCAACCGCTATACGACGCCACGCTACAACCTTACAACTTGTGAGCCCGACGTGTAGAACGAGTAGAACTGTTTGAAATATCTAAAGAAAGATACTTCTTACTATTTTAGTAAACCAGAACACAAGTGGGGAAAATCGAATATATTTGAACACAAAATCACAGAACATTTTAGTAAAATCTGAGAACCATGCAGTAAATACTTCATTTGCAACATGTCAGTCAATCGTCTCAGACTTGATTGTTCTTTCGTTTCTACATCAATCATTCTTTGTTTTCGTTCTCATTTCTTCGATCTTTATAATCTTCTGACGTTAGTCATTTTACTTTTGACTGGCGATACATACTACTTATATCTTTTGATATCAATAGTATACACCACAACACCTATTTTGATTGAAAAAATATATTCTGAGATCAACTTTCAGTTTACTGTTTCATTAGTACATTTGATTTTTTAAAAAATGAGTAGAAGAAAAGTTTCAGGTAACATTTCCAGCTGTTAAATATGATCAAACGGGTTTCTTAATGTAGATTTTGTTTTCAAGCCGTATTTATTCTTTGATGATTTTTTAAAAATAATTTTGATTGTTTCCATGAATAATGTCAAACTAGTTTGCTAGGGAAAACAGTAGAATGATCTACATTTCAATCTCTATGATTATTTCATGCATAATTTTTACATAAAGTCCATCCTTCATAATCTGAGTGAAGTTTTCGCTTAAAAAAATAACTTTGCCTGTAGCTCTTCAAGAGTTACTGCCGGCCCCAAGCCCGGGTAAAGCAGGAGGGTCAGGCATGGGGTCGGTAACTTCATCCCATAGAAAAAAACCTTGCTAACGAAACGCCAACCAGATTAAACAAATTTAATTCATTCAAAAATCTTGATAAACATCCATATAAATCACTGGGATTTCAAGTTTAAAATTCAGAAAATATGATCAATACTGTGGTTTGATCAAAGAAACCTTTCAAACTCATCATGTGGATGATCTCAATGAATACGTTGGATAAATTCTCTGTCACTGAACGAAGAATATTATAATATACTACTTCAGTGTCGCAGACTTAAAAAGACAAACGAACAAGGAATTAGGCAATATTGTGAAAAATGAAGTATGGAATACTTCAACAATAAATAATCTCCACAACCCCTATAATCCTTGTCGGGTAGAGACAGGTATCTACCTCAGTACAACGGAAGTTGGTCGCGCAATTTCGTGGATTGGTTGATGTTAGAAACTATCACCATTGGATGCCGGCTCAGTGGTCCAGTTGGTTAAGCGTTCGCGCGCGAGACCGAAGGCCCTGGGTTCGAATCCCGCTCGCGGGATCGTGGATGCGCACTGCTGAGGAGTCCCACAATAGGACGAAACGGCCGTCCAGTGCTTCCAGGTTTTCAATTGTGGTGGTCTAACATCAATCGGTTCATGATCTCAATAAAAAAAAATAATTATCATCTATCAAAACAGTATCAAGTTATAGAATTATCATAAAGCAATGTATATCTAACACGTACCTCAAATAAATGCCTAATATAACATGCAGTTCTAACTGTTTCAGGATGTTTAATAATAAATTTAGGTTGTTGTGGGAATATTTTAGAAATTTCATCTTCAATTCCAACATCAGTACTATTACCTTTTTTACGATAACTGGTAATGTTGTCAAGGTGATATCTAAATGGTTTGGTAGTTGGTAGAAGACATGTTAAAAATTCCGTCCTTTGTTGAGCTATAATTATAGTGAAAACATCAGAAGTATATACATAAGTAATCGTTTCTTTTAGTAAGTAAGTTTACGTAATTGAAATGGAACTGACAATTTGAACAATGTGAGTGCAGACAAATATAATAAATAAATAAAGTAGTAGAAGAATGGCTGTATTTTTTAGTAACGAACGAACCAATCAGATATAAGATAAAGGGTCTTGGATTTTGGCGCTAAATTCATTCATGCATTTGGCTAAATAGAGTTTTGGCATTTTAGCTAATGTGAATTCGTGATGAAAACCCTAAATGTAATTCTTAACCCTAACCATCAACCGTAAATCATAATGCTAATTCCTCACACAGGTTTATAACCCTTATTTAGCCCAAATGAGTAGGTGGACATCCGCAAGATCACTTTAACGTTGCTCAAAGATCGTCCATAAATTATAGTCTGACCTTCACTGCAATATTCCATTTAAGTTACATACATATTAAATCTACTAAATAACAAAAATATTGTCAAAATCAGAAAATATAAGGAAAATGTAGTAACTTATTTATGTAATTAAGTAAATAAAATAATGTTTTCATAATTTAACCTATTTCTTATCATTACTGACTTCTCCTTTAGCTCAGGTACCCGAAAATTTTTCTGTAACTTTCTCAATGGTTTAAATAATCTACCTCAAACTGAACAAGTTCTTTGTATTGAGGTATACACTATATGTACAGGTAGACATAAGTAGTATGTATCAGGGAACGGAATTAGAATGTTTACCAGCAGAAGAGTGAAGTAAAGAGAATATGAAGGAAAATGAAAAACAAATGGAACAACAACAGGATTGGAAGAATGATAAACTGTGTAAAAGACAACTGAAGGAAAATATACAAATGATGTATTCAATTTATGATTTTCATGTTTTACAAAGCTACTGTTTGAGTTTAAATGAAAACATGGATCGGTTTTCCTTTTATTATTTTTATCCACTGCAGGTTATTTAGTTTTAGTCGCCACTGGATACTTTACGACTTAATCCACTTGAAATTATTATTTAACATCAGTTTCGGTAATCGGTTTGTATCCGGATGTCTATCGCAAGCTTATATAATATTGATTCATTACTGCGCAGACAACAACATCTGATCTACTGTTTAAATTATGATATTGGCATAACAGAACAGGTGATTTAAATGCGTATAGAAACTAGTGAATCCATTAACAGTACAATAAAGTCAAATCTGAGAAGGAATAAATTGAGTCGAACTGTTGGTGAATTCGTATTATTGTTGATATAATTGAAAAATCAGATGGTTGACTTTTATATTGTAACCTGAGTAATCAGGCCGTATCTACAGAAGAGCAGTTATATGATTTCTCTACAGTCTGATAATCAGACGGTTCACCCAGATGCCAAAATAATGTTGAACGTCTCTTTAACAACTGACATACACTTCCATGAACAACAGACATAATCTTAACACTTATCGGTCATAGAGCTCCTTGTAACCCAGTATCCAATTGGAAGATAAAAACAGAAACTTGTTTTCTATCGGACATAATTCACTGATGATTCAAACTCATGTAGTAATATGGCTGAAATCTTTGACTAAATAGCAATAAAATTTGAAAATTACAATAAGTATTTAGCTTAGTCATCAATGCTACAAAACCTGATTAATAGAGAAATAGTTCATCAGGAACAATAAGACATATGACAGCGATTTGTGGGTTAAACAAAAGCTTAAATTTAGCAAAACATGAAGATGCGACAGTCCAAGAGTGGTAATCATTCATACGATACACCCAAAACTTCTATATTGATGCTAATCATTTTTCATATCATGTTTAAAGGAAACAAAGCTGTTTGATCAGTGTGACGTGGAAGAACTGGAGTTTAACTCTTCTAATTCAGTGAAATGAAATTTCATAGAATATTCACGTAGATGAACTAAACTATTATTGATTTTAACAAGTAATTTATTATAATATCATATAAGTCTGATACAACTGTCATGATTCAATTAATTTCAGAATGGGGGCTTTTGTGGAGATTGTAGTAATTTTAATCGTTGAATTCATGAGTCGATGTAAACTAGACCAGCACTTAAAACCCACAAGCGCTGGACGGTTGTTTCGTTCTAGTATGGGACTCCTCATCAGTGCGCATCCACGATCCCGCACCAAGTGGAAAAAACCCAGAAGCTTTGGTCTTGCTCATAAACGCCTAACCTCTAGACTATTGAGCCGGCATCTAACGGTGTTAATGTCTAACTTCAATCGATCTATGATGTTTCGCAACCATTCATCTATTTGTTTGAGTTAGATACTTGTATCTACCCGAAAGTGAGACATGTTTTTGTATTCATGTGAAATTTAATGAACATAGAAAATAACTAGTGTAATAGCTCTTTCAAATCCGTCTTATTTCACTGTATTTCAAATAAACTATACACATGAAAAATATATATTTCAATTTCACAAGCGTTAATGATTACAATCTCTGTTCAGAGCCTTGGGAGTTCTCTCAGAGTTTGTGAGTGACTTTTCTTGCACTCTTACATGTCAATCAGAACTCTGAAATAACCACCGGTCCGCCACAAGAGTTAATAATTACCTATGTTTATTTTAGTTTCCAAGATAAGAGACTTTAAAGCCAAATTTTATAAATCTTTAAACAGGACATTTTGATGAATTCAAATAAAATAAACCATTGTATAAAATCTGAATGAATGAACAAACTATAAAATGATAAAATTCACTGGGTATTGTTTACTTGAATCTTCCAAGTGAATTTAAACTTCCCCCTAACTCACAAGCAAGTGGCTATCAGGACTCAATAGCGATAGTGAGATGGTGGAGAAGATTTGTAGCTCAGGTGGATGATTTGGATGGATTTCTATTCTCTGAGCTGGATGGTTTGGTCGTAGAGCTTTCATCGTTCTTCTGAACGACAACATCAGCACAAACTTCAGATAGAATTCAATGAAGTTTCACAGGTTGTTCCAAGATAATGCAGCGTTTAATAATATAATATCCTACTCGAAATTTTTAAATTTCGCACAACTAAATCAAAACACTTTACTAATACAACTTTGTTATTGACAATAAGATATTGACCTCATTTAAATCAATGTAAATCAAAATACAGGCATTAAAATTTAGCATTTAACACATGACCTACCAGTTGGTTTAAAGTTGTGATATGGTGATTCAGCGACTAGACGTGCAATAAGTGTAGTACATGATAAACGACTACTCAAACCACTTGATGGTTGTTTACATGGAATTGGTATTACTGAACAACAATATTCAGGGCAATTATTTAATCGGAGTGATGAATGTAATGATATTGTACTACTAAATCGTTTATTGATTTGTGGTTGATCAGTCCATGTATTATTAGTATTATTATTATTATCATTATCATTATCGTTAATATTATTATTATGATTATTTAATGAGGGGTCAGTTGTTGATGAATCTCCTCCTAATGTATTACTTAATTTTCTATTGACTTGATTATATTCAATGGATGCTGAAGGAAATAGCTTAGAACATTGTATAAGATTTGATGTCATACTTTGTCTTTCAAATGGTGTATTACAATCAGTTTTCAATAATTGTGGAATTTCTCGAGTTGAACTATTCTTTTTTGATCGATTCACATAGAATGTTTTATGCCTTGAACATTTTGCAGATTGAAGCCATGCTTCAGCTAAATTATGTATATGATCTATTCTATGACCATTACATATTTTCTCTTCTAAAAGATCAATCTTATTCAAGAAGACAATCATAGGAACTTTTCGTAAATATCTAAGAAATTGAAAAACAACAAAAAATAAGTATTTTTGATGAAGAAAATTATATTATTGTTTTATAAAGTGTATTCAGAGTAAAAATCAGGACTCAGTAGCTAAGTGGATAACGCGATGGCGTTTGAAGTTAACGGGACTGGGTTAGAGTCCTAGAGTGAGAATCAACTGTGAAATGTAAGTATATTCGGCTGATGAGTACTAAATAGGACGAAATGCGCGTCCTGGATTCCACTGCTAACCAGCATTTATCTTTACTTAAATATCAGCTGAGTTGAAAATACCGAAAAAAATGACTATATGAACACTTATCAACTGGCGAGTATACTTTTTCAGTTAATTCGTTACGTTTTCTTAGAATAATATTAATAATCATGACAGTTTAATTCTATATTGCAAATTTTAATATGGCGAAAAATTCTGAGCACCCATTGTATGATTTTGTTATAAAATTTCTGTTTCTTACAAGTATGGTGCATGTTACTTATATTGACAGATGTAAGTAGTATGTAAAACCAATCAGAAGTGAAATGCATGTCTAAATAAGATTGAACTGTGAAAAAAGAAACAGAAAGAAATTGAGATTTAAAAGAATCATGAAGGACTTAAACGACAGCTGATAGGATATTTTTCAGCTCAGCTGTTATAACAAATATTTTACCACTCATCATTCATGAATTCCAAGTTATTTGTTATTGGTTTTTTCAAAGGATAGACAACGAAGAAAAACAAATGTTGATAAATTTAGTGTATTCCATTACTCAACATTAACATTACTTAGCATTAGCCTAGATATGCGATGTTCAATGGTATGGGAGTAGGTTGGAAGAAAGCTAGGGGAGGCCAGACCAACACATGGCACAAGTCCATGAAGTCACTGACAAGTGGACTGAGTCATGTTGGTAGGTGTAGACTACCTGGTTGGGGACCACGAGATGATAGCAACCGATGGTTAGAGACCCTGAATGACATGACTCAAAATCGTTTGCAATGGAGCAGGTGCATCCGCTCTTTGTGTTATTCCAAATTCTGATCTCCTGAATCCTCATTGTCTCTTTTCTCCTCTTTCCAAATTTATTTCGCTGGATTATACTCCTTGAATAACATCTTCAAACCCTAACCTTTCCAATTACTGCTTATGCTCTTACCGCCTCTACCACTATGGGATTTGAATCGACAACTGCATTTCTGTGCTAATGTGGTGTGGCAAATCGAACTGATGTACGTACATACGAAGTTCTACGTGTTACTGACTGACTGACTGACTAACTTGAAATGCAGAATGGGAACGGAAAAAAGAAAGACCAAAGAACACACTAAGCCAAGAATTGGAAGCAGACATCAAAAGGATAAATAGCAACTGGACACAACTGGAAAGAACTATCCAGAACATAGTTCGATAAAGAATGCTGGTGGATAGCCTATACTCCTTCACGGGGATAACATGCATAAGTAGGTAAGTAAGTAACATCACATTACTTAGCATTCCACTAATTTGTAAGTCCTTTGAAATAGTTCCTGTTCACATACAGTGAAGTTTTACAAATGTTCAGTTTAGACAAATCTAAGGCAGAAAAGTCTATTGAAATACTTATATAGTTGGAGAATAAATACCCCACAAACATTTAAACAGACCGCTAATCTCATTTATGTCCCTAGTACAACACTGACATATTTTTGATATTTGCTTTTACTATTCTCATGATAAAACCATCCTAGAATATGTGCCAATAAATAGTTCTAGTATATACATTTAAACAAATATTTAACTGTGTACAGTCAACAATAAAAAAAAACGGAACTTACTTATTATTCCATGCTTGTTCGAATATTTCTAATGAATCGATTAATCGATTTTGTCGATGATCTTCAAGAAGTGTTTTATCGAAACCACTACAATCGACAAGGTATAGAATTGCAGTGACATTATCAAAAAATTGAATCCATTTTTTCGTTCACCTCGTTGTCCACTAACATCAACTATGCTTTATTTAATTTTAAAATAATAAATTAAAGATTATAGAAAATATTTACTGTAGAATATTAATTGTGTATACTGTATCTTAACTTGTGCGTATATTTAATAATATCTCTCAGTAGCGCGTAGTCATGGCAACTAGTTATGATTACATTCGTAGTTATTTTTTTTCAGTAATGATGCGATGAGTTTAATCGCCAATATATCCCCTTAGCTAACTGAGTTGGTTTTCTATCAAGTTTGGTTATCTGTATTGGTATACGTTTGAAACATCTTTCTATTGATTCAACTGAATTATTTATTATATTTACCTAAATTGCATAGTAATATGTATTTTGTACAATGATATATACCCGTAAATTACACTGACTATAAAGATTGATAAAATAAAGATCAACCTAAAGCGCATCCACGGCCGTCCAGTACTTCCAGGTTTTCCGTGGTGATCTAGCTTCAACTGACTCATGATCTTAACCATTGAAATTACTATAATATCCACAAAACCCATCTGAAAATAAATCTTAAGTTTGTATATCGTACTTACCGAAATCGAACTGACGATTTTCGACCTGTTGGAATATCAAACTGTAATTCATTAATATTATCAGTCATTTTACGACACCTCAAAATATCCTATTTATTAAGGGAAAAAATATATAAAATTTTCTAAAATGAGACTAAGTATGAGCTTATTACCAAAAAAGAAGTTCTAATTTCTAACAGGAATCACTTGAACTCGAAATTAGTTTACAGTAGTGTGGTGTGTGATACGTATATCGACATGACGAGTATACAACGATAGTTAGAATTAGAATGTCTGACAACAGAAGGTCGAGAAGGAAAGAATGGGAACAGAAAGTAATTGGTGTGAAAATGCAGGGACAATTGAGTCTTAGACGATTGAATGATGTTTGCAAAAGTTTGAGACAGCTGATTAACATTTTGCAAATGAAGTATTAACTGTATGGTTCTCAGATTTTTGCAAGATGTTCTGTAATTTTGTTCCCACTTGTGTTCTCGTTCACTACAGTAGAATAGCGTATATTATGAAATTGTATGATCACTGAGGAGTGACCAATGTCAGATGTATCAAACTCTTCTTAATGCTGACAAAATTCTATAGATTCATTTACGATGTGGTTACTAGTCCAAGTGATTTGACATCACCTGCAGTACGTTATGGTATTAGATAGCTGGAGTTAGTTGGGTTTAAAATTCTGTTTGACCTCATTTTCGTTCTAGTTAGCAAGGTGTGCCTACAATCTTAATGGCCACGACCTAAATACCTAACTGGCAATGTTTCAGTCTGTGAAACTGTGTTATCAGAGTAATAATCTAACTTCATATTTATAAATAAACAATGGTGAGGAATTTCCTTCTTGAATATATTTGAAAACATTGCAAAAACTAGAATTTATACTCGGTTAAGTCACATTTTGTTGTTTTGTATTCACTTGAAGTTACCATAGTTGTAATACCGAATCCAAAAGTTTAGAACGGTACTGATATCATGATAATGAATAAGCTTTTGAAAAATTCTTTTCATGATACATTTAAAGTAAGTTAGACGATTTTTCTGTATTCTTTAAAAAAACTGCATTCAGTAATCGTAAACTACCATCGTTTGTTTCCCGAATCAGAAACGAGGGTTGCGCAATATTGTGAATTGACTGAATTTAGAAACTAAGATTGTTGAATGCTGGCTCAGTGATCTAGAGGTTAAGTGTTCGTATGCAAGATTGAATGTCCTGGGTCCGAAGCAGTCATGATGGAAATTCATCATTTTGAGTGAGTTTAAGTTGAAATGTTTATTATCTTACAGTTTGAATTGTTATGAACGATTAATTGGATTTCTATTGTGCCATTGCTTCCAATGATTATTGAGATAACACCAGTATATGATAACGAATTATCAATTATCTTCCTTTTATCTTCTAAAATAACTTGAGATGTTTATCGTTTTTAAAATAGCAGTGGGAAATGTTTAACTTTCATCTATCATGTTTTTTTTTAATAAGTTAAGTGTATGTTAGTATTTGTGACGTATAGGTGACAGGTTGTTGGAAACTGTCGAAATTTGTAATATTGTACTACGGACTAACCTTGGTTAGACACCCATTGATAACTGGGAAGGGTTAAAAAGTTATTTCTCCTTAGTATGAGACACGTCAACAGTGCAAATCTATGATTCCTAATACAGGTGCAACCTAAGAATTTTAAGTCTCAAGTAGAGTTCTTACACTCTTGACCACTCAATTACCATAGAACGGTTTACATTTCTAACTTCAGTTGGTTTATAATGTTATAAAATCCAGAAACAATGCCACTGATAGGCAACTACGGAACTTCCTACATTTTTGAACTCCATCAAGATTAGTCAGTGATAGGTATATGAGTATTACTAGTATAGAGGGTTTTTAAAGACTATTGAGTCATATGGTTTACATCACGGACTGATGTCAATTTATCACTGAATCAACCCATTTTTTTAGAACTAGATATATTGTTTGGTAATGCTGCATAGTGATATGTCGTGGTGAAAGTAAAATATGATTGGTCACTGAGCGTCGACAAACAAGCACTAAGCCTGCTGACTATTAAATATGTAATCTACTTTTCTCTCATTGATTTCTACTCTGAACTCGTTGAATAAAACTGCTTGTAATTGTGCTGAATAAAATATTACCTAATGTTAATCTAGTTTTCTATTCTGAGTTGTGAATCCTGGATCTGATATAACGTGACTAGTCCCATTACCGTTGTAATGTATTATCGTAGTATAACTGAGATTAATGAATTTTTAGATTTGCTAAAGAACTTGGGACTGTAAATCAATACCTTACAAGTTTTGTTTTCAACCAATAATCCATTTACCTAACAAAGACAATTTTGTTTAAACCTTGATTTCAAACAAGAAAGTTGTAGCAAAGATGAATATTAGTTAGCAGTGGAATCTAGGACGTGCGTTTCTTCCTATTTGGAACTTGTCACCTGGACGTACCGGCATTATTCCACTGCTAGCCACTATTCATCTTTGCTTAAAAAGCTTGTGATATAAGGCTACATCGAGGCAATCTGCACAGAGTGCATATATGTCAACATGAGACTTATCAATTACAGTCCTAAATAACAATGGGAAGATACAAGTAAAATAACGCCAAGTGAATTTTAAAAAAATCGTAGTGTTGAAAAATGATACAGATAATTTCCACTGTAGTTGATACATGTTTATCGAATGTAACCATCAGTATGTGTAAAACATCTTTGAAACAAAGGCTTACTAACCTGATCTGTTGGGACATAGTCTGGTCTTCTGATAGCATCAAAACGTCGCATAAAACTAAGTTGTAAAGATAGATTTAAATGTTTCTTTTAGATTAATTATTATCAAGTGATAAAGTGTAAATAAACGTTACTAAAATTATATTCTATTAAGTTAATAGAATTGTATCTGTGTTACACTGATATAAGTAAATAGTTTACGTTTTTTCTAACTTAGATAGTCACACCGTTTATCGCGTATTCAGTTCCTCTCTTTCTACCTGGTTTCTGAAAACACATAGCGTATATTTGTTCGAATATAACACATACTTTTGCTGACAAGATATTGTTATCACTACTAAATATGACGAATATTACTGAAAATCCGTTGGAAATATCAAACAAGTAAATCAATGAACGACACCAGAATAGTTATATATAACAGTGTAGGTTTTTTCAAAGTGTTGGTGTCAAAGAGACCCAGAAACTTTTTCGCATAAAGTCCAAAGGAGTCCTGAAGACGTTGTGAAACATTTCACTCAATCAGCATTCAAAAGAAGGTCTTAAAAACAGCTAGAAAGTGAAGAGTCATGTATCAAACTTTTGATTGAATGATTACCTCTCCCACCATTATATTTAGGAGGGTTAAAAATCAATATTTTTGGACTTTTGACCATTGATTTAAATCTTTTCTAATGTTTAAATCGATTCATAGTGGTAAATGCTCTGAATTTCTCAATCTGACGGTTAATTCTATCATTTAATCAATAATCCTCAAACTATTCGATCATAATTCAGTTGCTAATTCAGGAAAATAGATTAACGATTTTTTACATGAGACAGTCATCTAAATCTGTTATTAATAAACAAGCTTCATATAATAGAGCCTAACAAGTTAATTGAATGAGAAAACTAGGAGCTTGTACGAAGCATTTCTTAGCTAACCTGAATTGAGATTCATTCACAATTCATGTATTAATTTATGTGTGGTTCTCCAAAAAATCAACCTAAATCTTAACCAATAGCATAAGTCAAAATCTTTCTTTTACTTTGATTGAGATCATGAACCGATTGATGTTAGACCGCCTTTGAAAACCTGGAAGCACTGGGCGGCCGTTTCGTCCTATTTTAGGACTACTCAGCAGTGCGCATCCACAATCCCCCTCGCGGGATTCGAGCCCAGGGCCTTCGATCTCGCGCGCGAATGCTTAACCTACTGGACCACTGAGCCGGCATCCAATGGTGATAGTGTCTAACATCAACCAACTCACGAAATTGCGCGACCATTTACCAATGTACTGAGGTAGATACCTGTCTCTACCCGACATGGATTAACTCCACTGGTCACGGCTTCTCGCTAGAACTCCGAAAATTCCCTCACGAAGCTAGTCACTAGTGAGCACTATTTGACCTTTGACCGGTATGTTTGCTGAGGCCAAATAACTTGTCTCTCCTGAAAAATAAGTCTACTATTTTAGGTTCAATTTCAGGAACTAAGCTAAATTGTACATAACTTTTAACCAACTAAAAACTTATAGATTCAGTTAAGAATAAAAATAGATATTAACCAACAATTTTACAAATAGTTTCATCAATATACAATAATGACTTACTAAGTAGCTGAGTCAAATAAATGGAATTCCGTAGATCTTGTATAAGCTCTCTGAACTCCTGGATCATGCCATATTTCATCCACCTCATCAAAAAATGTCTATATAATGTAAAATTAAATTATGGTAAAACATTGATCGATTTTATACGAGTGATTTTTCATACTTATTAGTGGCCTGCTTGAATATCTGGGCTAGGTGCCATCTTGATATCTCAACAAGTCATCTGTCTTTTGTCTGTTTCAACATATCACTATGTTAATGAATTGCACAACCTATTCAGGTACGTTTATAAAAAGTCCACGACATTTCGCTATACAAGTTAGGGAAGAGCACAATCAGAGACATTATGGTTGCTGGGAATATACATCGAAAAGAATGTATATTATTAAGATGTCGATTCTTGAACTGCGAATATTTAATTGACGATTACTCGATATTTATCGTCAGGATCGATCAAGAAATAAGAAAAAGAAACTTGAAAGTGTCCACTTAATAACTAGGACCGAATGAGCTTTATAAATCTGTGTGAGGAATTCGAATTGTGATTTACAGTTGATGGTTAAGGTTAGGAATTAGATTTAGGGTTTTAATCACGAACTGACATCAGCTATAATGCCAAAGCTCTATTCAACCAAATGAATGATTGAATTTCGCGCCACAACCCGAGACCTGTTATATTATACCTGATTGGTTCGTCCACAAATTATAGCCTCACCTGTATTTCTAATCTTCAATAACCACAACTTTACTAGATATTAGAAACTTGTCTGTGTTCTAAAGAGTAAGTGAATAAGGGTTATGAAAATTGTTGTTTTTTAAGGAATATAAATCCTATAAAACATCTTAAAAATAATAGTTTTTAACAACAGAATATAAGTAATCATAAAGACTAGTGTAAACTACTATGAAGCACCAGATCGTCTATGAGTAGCTCAAAGATTAGACGTTTATGACGAGATTGGAAGGTCCTGAGTTCGATTCTCAGTGAGTTTATAGAAGAATTCTAATTTCAAATAGTAGTTCAACTAAACTCAATTCACGATGTAAATTATAGAATCTATAAATCTTTAAAAACATCTTATACTACTAATAATAAATAAATAGATAAATACATTTTTCCTCAGATTACATGTTGAGAATACTAAGCAAAGGCAACTTTCAACGAAATTAACATGAGATAAGAATTAATTTTAAAGTTGACAAATATCACTTATTTTGAAAGGAATTATTAAGTCTCAAATTATCATACAATTATTTTTCTTCTTTCTTTTTTATGGTTAGCGTTTTTTAGCGAGTTAGTTTTCTACGGGATGGGGTCGCTAACCCCATGCCCGACCCTCCTCCTTTACCCGGGCTTGGGACCGGAAGTAACTCTAGAAAAGCTACGCGAATCATCAAACTGCATCACGAGGCAGGCCAAAACTTGGAATCCTGAAGGGAAACGGAAAAGAGGAAGGTCAAAGAACATATTACGTCGGAAAATAGAAGCAGATATGAAAAGGATAAATAACAACTGGAAGGAGCTGGAAAGGATTGCCCAGGACAGAGTTGGATGGAGTACGCTGGTGAGCGGCCTATGCTCCTTCACGAGGGGTAACAGGCGTAAGTAAGTAAAAAGTATTATACAATTATAATAGTTAATACTAAGTCACATATCTCATCATACTTAAGTACATATATGAAACTGACAGTAAATCAGAGTATAATTTGAATTTTTATTTGTAAGAGTATATGTAAAAAATAAAAAATAAAGAAATTAGACCAGAGGTTAAGTGTTCCCTTACGCGACGGTAGGTCCCGGGTTCAAATCACGAGAACAGGATCGTCGATGCAGATCGCTCACGAGTCCCATACTAGGACGAAACAGTCATCCAGTGCTTCCGGGTTTTCAATTGTGGTCTAGTTTATATCGACTCATGAATTCAACTATTAAAATTACTACAGTCCCTAAAAATGCTTTTATTTGAATAACTTGAATTTACTATGTAGAACTGATCAATTATCTTGAATACAGTCAGTGAATTCAACTATGTGGTAACTAGTATATAAACTGTTTAAAATCTTAAATAACTTACATCAGGATAAGTATAATCTTCAGCCAAAGAATTGTCTATAAGATTTTTAGCTAGATCAGCAGTTCGAGTTTGAATAAATTCAAGTTGTAACGTTTTCATGCCTCCAAGAATTGACTTGAAAAAAAAATACAAAGTGAAAGTGTAGGTAATTGTATTATGAATTATTGTAGAAAATTGGTATAAAGTGTTATGTGAACTCATTGAATCCCTTGCATGTGTCATTATATGTGTTCATGTATGGTTAATCGTAATTTTGTTTATTTGTATTAAATTTTGTTCATTCATACTAATATATCTCTATTTTTCTAGTTTACTGTCTTATCAGTATAGGGTTGTGGAGATTATTAAGTTTAGATTGATGTCGTGAATGAAACAATGTTTGATCACCATTGAAAATCTGAAAGAACTGAATGGCTGTTTCGTCTTACTATGGGACTCCTTAGCAGTGCGCACCCATAAACCCATGACCTATCGGTCTTGAGCACTAACGTTTAACATCTAGACCACTGAGCAAGTATCCAATAGTGTGAATGTCTAATTTCAGTTAATTCACGAAATTGAGCCACCGTCCACCATTGTCTTCAGTGAGTTACTACCTCACAATAAACCCGGTTGTACTCCACTGGTCACGGCTTTTCTCTAGAACTCCAGGAAATACCTCTTAGAGACCGTCATTAGTAAACATATGATGATTATAATTGGAGAGAGGTTTTGTGTATATTATGGTAGAGTTTAAGCAGTTGCCCCCAAGATCGATAGGTTCTGTGTTCGAATCTCGTGGGGGCGGGATCGTGGATGCGCACTGCTGAGAAGTTCCATACTAGAACGAAACGGCCATCCCGTGCTTCCAGGTTTTTCATGGTGGTCTAGCTTCAATTGACTTATGAATTCAACTGTTAAATTATTATAATATCCACGAAACCCCTCTCTCATCATAAGTGAAAATTCCTATAAGCATACTTCGTTTACAACTATTTCAATGATCATTTTCTATAGGATATAGCAGATATTTACAAATTCGTGTGTGAAACTACACAATCATTGAACTAAATATTTGTTATTTAGGAGTTAATGATGAATGGTAGGATGGATACTTTTGATTCTTTTTTACAAATCTGTGCCGTAGAAACAACTGAAAAAATAAATAAACAATTGATTATAACAAAACTTACCAGTATTACATCTCTTATATTCTGTTTAATGATTGGAATATAATCTAGCCTTTCCCTTAAATATAAACAAAATAATATTCTGTAATTAGATTATTTAGTATAATATAATTGACACTATCTATTTCGAAGAAAATAAGGAAACTATAATTTCATTAACCCTTTTTGAGGAATCAAGTGTGGGAAAATATGGATAATTACAGTACAAACCTGGTTTGAGTTGATTGGTTAAAATTGTTCACGATAAACTATCAAGATATTGAAATACAAGAGTAATGTGTATTTGTAACAAGAAGTTACTTAAACCAAGTATATATATATATATATATATATATATATATATATTGTATGAATATCTTACTGATAATACTCTGAATAAAAATGATCGTTTATTGTATAATCAACGATGGATGGCGGTTAGCAGTGGAACCCAGGATGCGCGTTTCGTCCTGTTTGAGACTCGTCAGCTGAATATATCTACACCTCGAAGTTGATATACACTCCGCGACTCAAACCCAGTACCGTTCACTTTAAATGCCATTGCGTTATCCATTTAGCGGACGGTACTGGGCCCGAGTCCCGAAGTGTACATTAACTCTGAGATGCGGGAATATCCGGCTGACGAGGTTCAAATATGACGAAACGCGCGTCTCTCATTCCACTACCAGCCACCATCAATGCTTGTGAATCAAGGCAATATCGAGGCAATCTGTAAAGGATACACATATGCCAACAATAGATTGATCAATCTCAGTCCTAAACATCGATGGGAAGAGTCAAACAAACAATACACAATGGATTGATTAATATATTTGCATCTAGATTGCACAATGATTCTTTTTCAATATGTGTGATTCTCAGAAATGATTGCCATCAAATGTCTTGAAAATTTGAATACATACTGAAAGCCGTTTATCATTCGTTAAAAAAGATCTTTTTTGTATGTCTTTAGTTTTTCGTTTCTTTGGGATTACGGATAAACTAGAAACACAGATTCATGTTGTCAGAAAATCTCGGATCTAGACTTGGTGTTAGTTAGCGCTTATCAGCAAAGTTTAACTGTAACCATGAGGTAACGCATATATTTTGGCGAAATTCACACTTTCAGGAGCTCTTAAAGTTTAATTTGAACAGTAACTGATGCCCAGTGGTTGTGATTCACGGCATCCTGTCAACTATCCCTAATCAACTAACATTTCAACATAGGACATAAGATGTCGAGTCCTTTAAACTAGTAGTCACATTACGAATAAATCAGTAAATTCCTACTAACACTATGGTGTTAGACACACATAACACCGAAAGCTCCTCACTGATTTATTAAATGTACGAACTTATATTAGCTTTCATGTATTAATTCATGATGTACCTAAATTTCTTACAAATTTAAAGCACTAAGTTGTTTACACTAATCATCGTTACAGTTTTGACGGCTTGAATATATCTTGATAGTCTAGCGTAAAGTAAATGCTTTGTAAACAATTGTGGTGAATTTAGGACTTTTGGAGACTACTGAATTTTATATCGTGTCAAGCGTTCATTTGAAGGCCCTGCTTGAGATCCGTAGTGGATCGTGATAGTTCACTACTCATGAGTCTTAGAGTAGGACGAAATAGCTGTCAAACTAAGGTCATCACGTAACACATACTAAATAATTTTGAACTGAAAATCCGATATAATTTCAGTGCTACTACTTCAATCGTAAACTCCATTCATGTTGTACAGGCTAGATCTGCGATATACCTGTAACATTTAAACCTGAACCAATCACGTTCATCACGTTTGCTTGATAGTCTCTTTACCCTTTTTCACCATCAAAGTCTATCCTGAATACTCAGGAAATGTTTGAATAAAATAAGTCTCTGTATATTACCAGTATCAACAACATACGTTCTAGCTTTTCAGAAAATTGCAAACTGACCGAAAGATAGGTATGAACAAAATTAAACTTATACACAACAGTATAAATTCACAGCTTTAAAATGACTATGGAAATACCTTGGAACCCATAAACTGTACTGAATTATGCTGGTAGAGTTTCTTTATTGATAATTAATATGTAAATGACGCCTCGTAAAAACGTTATATTTAGACTTAGATGAATAATTTGCTCAGTAACTTTTAAAAAAGTAACTGTGTAATTTTTAAAATGAAGTCATTTGTCATTAATGACTGATTTCAGATAAGTAATAACTAAAAGCTATGGAGAGCCCTTAACACCTATTTCCTTCTGGTATTTTATTTCGCATCAGTGCTGAAATAAGATGTCTTGAGGGATCAAGACAAAGACTATTAAGTTGTCACAGTCCACGGCACCCAATTCAGGTACAAATGCTAATTATAATCTTCAGAAGTGACTAAGACGTTGTAATTGACAAACGTGAATAAACATGCACGCAAATTACTGGTATTCAAACACTAATCCTTAAAAGTAAATCATGGATTTGTTTGCTGAGGCCTTTCTTAAGTGTATAATTGACTTATTTCAATAACGTGCCCGTTTTTAGTTTCTAGCCTACCGTTTGACCTTGGACTAACTTTCGAGCTGCCTAGCTTTGCACAAACATATGATATGTATAGAATATTTCAGTCTACCAAGATCTAGATGAAGCACTATATAATTGGACCACTGAATTGGAATCCAGTGGTTCTCACCTCTAGCTTCATGCACTTTACGACATAGCTTAACCATTCTTAGTTATATCGGAGAAATCTGTTACACTCCCCAACATGATTAACCTCAACTAATCACGAATTTTTATCAGGACTTCGAGAAACAATTGTTCAATACTTCCTGTTTTTCAATAGTTTAGCATGAAAAATTACGTCTTTCTTAACCAAAATGCCCCAAATATAATGTGATTTCACTTACTTATTACTAAAGCCATTGATGTGAATAATTTTCATTTGTTTTAATAGTGTAGATTTTCCTGATTCTCCAGTACCTAAAATAGTATAACAAGCAATCACTTAACAGAACATTATTAAAGCATGAAACTTCAGTGAACTTTGAACAAACAAAATTATTTATTACAAAATAGTTAGTACCTGGTTATTAGTAGAATCCGAGACTCGATTGTATTTGCTATGATTGAATGTAACTGCATCTCAATGTTAATGTTTACAATAATACTGTAACTTGGTACTATTCCGTTTGAATAGGATAAAATCTACGTTCTAGATTCCATTGCTGGCTATTTACAGATATTTAATAAATAAAAGTGATCTACTGAAATACAGAAGAAGGATTGCGTCTAAAGTGTTAGGAAAAGAGGGTTGAGTGACAATCAAAAAGTTGGAGCAACAGAATATGATGTATCGTAATTGTCCATCTAACGAGTATAAGAAAAGGGACCAATAAATTAAAAAGATGGAGATGATGATAACAAATAGTTAAAATTTTAAAAAAAAAACACTAAAAGAAAGTAATAAATAATTAGTTTATTGAGTATGGAAAAATACAAGTGTTTGAACTACGTTATAACGACAGATTGGACGTGTGGCTCTAACACACAGAGTTTACAGTTGAAATAATAAATTGCAAACGCCTTCGTAGAGTATAAGTTATTGATTTATACTTTCCTTTAAACCCAATCATCCAACTATGTAGAAGAGTGTTTCTGGCAGGACAGCAAAACCAATATTAACGAGATGTTTCATGGTTGATTTATTGATTACTTTACATTCTTCATTTAAACGCCAGTCACGGTAGTGCTCCAAGATGATTGTAGAGAGAGTTCCTAAACTACTTATTTCGGTTACTTTGATAAGAACATTCTGACTGAACAAGAAAGAACAAAGCTAGCTCAACCCAGATTTGTATAGTTTATCTGTCGTTTTGTTGGATGGCGTTGGTCTGATTTGCAAATGATGTAATACTATTGTCTCTAACAACACTTGGATTAAACTATTACTACCCTACATTTCAAATCAATTTAAAGGATACATGAATATTGGGTAAAATAGGAAAGAAATTGGTTTTATACATCTTTTGTTCAGTTTACTAGCACACTTCACAATAGCGAACTTCCACGTTACACAAAATGGCTAAACATTTGGAAGTTATAATATTTTCTAAAATAAGATATGAATCTTATGTGGCTAAGTGGATATTGAGGTGATCTTTGGAGCTAAAAGTACTGTGTTCCAATCTCCGGTTTAACACCGACTCTGGAATGCATGTACTTCCAGATAACGAGTTTTAAATGAAACGATATGAGCGTCTTGTATTCTATCGCTTGCTACATTCTATTTGTTCTACATAAAATTGTATCGTATTGGCTATAGATACAGGGAATTCACATATGATGCACATGTCCCAACCAAGAATGATCAAATTTCAATCAATATTTCAACAATTGAGAAACCTAAACCACTTAAAATGATTATATGAATCCTACAAATTTGTTACTTGATTATTTGAATTAAAACAGAGAGGAAGACTCAATGAAAAAACATAAGGTTTGTTAGAAACTGTATAAGATTGATATTTTTATTGGGTATCATATATTGAAAAAAGACCAGTATGATAATCAATTCATAATCCTTAATCATTTTCTAGCCAGTAATGTAATGAATCAACTTTTATAAATGACTGACTTCAGATTGAAAAATAAGTTTATTTGATGAATATCAAAAGGCTTTTTTTGACTGAGATCATGAAAAGATTGATGTCAGACCACCACTGAAAATCTGGAAGCATAGGACGGCCGTTTCGTTCTATTGTATGACTCTTCAGCAGTGCACATCCACGATCCCGCTTGCAGGATTCGAACCGGATTGGTTGACGTTAGACAATAACACAGTTGGATGCTGAATCAGTGTTCTAGAGGTTAAGCGTTCGCGCACGAGACTGAAGGCCATGGGTTCGAATCACGTGAGCGGGATCGTGAGTTGGTACTGCTGAGGAGTCCTGCATTAGGACGAACCGGCCGTTCAGCTCTTTCAGGTTTTCAATGGTGGTCTAACATCAATCTATTCATGATCTCATTCAAAAACCTAATAATTTCCACAACCGTATACTACGAATATCAAAACAACCTCAAATTTATATGTACAGTTCTTAGTTATTTATCCATAAGTTTATCACAAAACAACAATCACATTCTTTAATCACTGTGGTTACAATTAATTAGAATACAATGACAAATAAAACCCATTTCAAAAACAAACAAAAAATAGGTAACAATCATTTTGTGCAAACAATTAGGTCAACTACATAACTAAATCAGGACTTACTACTCTGATAAAATTTTTCTCATGACACATTTTTTCGACATTTTTTATTCAATAAAAATTGTATAACAACAATACAAATTGTTTTAGTAACTATGATATTAGAAAAGATTAACTTAAGATGTAGTGGTGGTGGTGATGGTGTGTGTGTGTGTGCATGTGTATGTGTGTATGTTTAATGCAGTCCGATGAAGTTATTATATAATGTTAAACATTTAATATCATTATATTATGGCATATCTAGATCACCATATAATTTGTGTATATTATACATGTGTTGTTATTTCTATTTTCGAAGGATAACATATAACCGGACATTTATAATGAATATGAATCTATCTTAAAAACATTGAAAAATACATTTGATCAGGTCACTTATTATTATTATTCAAAAAGATGAATATGAAATTTGTAACGATGTTATGCATATGAACTATTACATAGAATACATTTAAGCTCATCTTTCATTCAGGTCATTCAAATATGAATTAAAATTAAGATAAAGAAAAAGATATAGAGATAAATCAAACAAGTACCAAGGTGATGATTTGGAAGTTGTTTGTTTTTTTTTTGGGGGGGGGGTTGCGGGGAAACATTCAAAAAGAAATGTATGTAAAACGAGTAGAATATTAGTTAAGATGTTTAAAATAATGACAAGAATATTTCTTTTTCCGTTAGATAATAAAAACAATGGTGTTGAGCGTATCAGTTAGTATAGGGTTGTGGAAATTATTAGGTTTTCGAATGAGATCATGAATAGATTGATGTTAGACCACGATCGAAAACCTGGAAGAGCTGGACGGCTGTTTCGTTCTATTGTGGGACTCCTCAGCAGTACCAACTCACGATCCCGCTCACGTGATTCGAACCCATGGCCTTCAGTCTCATGCGCGAACGCTTAACCTCTAGAACACTGATTCGGCATCCAACTGTGTTATTGTCTAACGTCAACCAATCCGATTCGAATCCTGCGAGCGGGATCGTGGATGCGCATTGCTGAGGAGTCATACAATGGAACGAAACGGCCGTCCTATGCTTCCAGGTTTTCAATGATGGTCTAATATTAATCAGTTCATGATATTAAACGTATCAAACTCTCCATTCTCTGTGTCGATAGTAAATAACTCACCAAACAACATTAACCCCAATTCTTTTGTAGCCCTCGAATATCTGACTCCTGATAGATCGTACGATTGACTTTTATTGAAATATACATGTCGTCAATCCTTGTATAAAATTATAGACTTAAATGGCTTCCAATGAGTAACAGAATTAAATAAGTTAAATACGAGAATGGATTCTTCAATACGTATAATTTGTACACTTATTGATCTGGACAGTAGAAGAACGGAGCGAAAAGAAGAGAGCAAAATGAAATAACGCCCAGTGGAGAAGTCGTATAAGCCAACTCGATTTAACCAGGCATGGATCGATATTTATAGTCAGATAAAAATAAGTTACAGACATATGATGAGTAAGATAATAAGTGCACACACATACCTCTTACATAAAAACGGTGAAGATTGATAAGCGAATAAATAATAAGGTCAAAATGTGACTCATGAAAGATGGATAAATTGTCTTGTCCGGAAGCTAGAATAAGCAATGTGGACTTAATATAGCAACCGACACTATAATTTCTAAATCCTCAATCCATGATGTTAAATCCCCTGAATCTAAACCTAAACCCAAACCGGGAATAACGTGAGAACTTTGATAAAAACTGTTTTCATTTTTATAAAGGTTAGAGAAATTGTGTACTTGAAAGCCATTTAGATGAATTTATATATCATTGTTTTTTTCGATTTACAGACTGAAAACTCAATAGAAGACATAAATGAATTCATTAATTATGCGAAATCTTGACAACCTTTTTTTGATTTAATAGTTGAATTCATGAGTCAGTTGAAGCTACATCACCATGGAAAACCTGGAAACACTGGATGGCCGTTTCGTACTATTGTGGGACTCTTCAGCGGTGTTCACCCACCAACTCGATCGCGGTATTCAAACCCAGAACCTGTCGGTCTAGCGTGTGAATGCCTGCCCTCTAGACCACAAAACTACTTCTGATAATAATCTTTTTGTGATTAACTAACAAGAGGCTTAAATGCATCAAGATTATCTTAAGAATATTTAAATCTTATCCCTACGGTATTTTCTCATCACGATATTAACATAATAAGTTAAAACAAAACTGGTAATTTCCTTGTTAGGAAACTTTTTGGATGGAAGAACAATGAAAATTGAATAGAATAATTTATGTTTCAAAAAAGTATTTGTTTTGGATGAAATTCCTGATGTATTGGACGAATCTCCTTGAATCTAGGTCGTCAATTATTGGCTACTATAAGGAGGAAGTATATCTGTCATTGAGTAAAATTATGCTATTTCTGAGGCTAAACATCTTAATAACACAACATAAAACATCAGTGTTAAGCCTTTTAAAACTTATATTCATAACAAAACAGATTAATAATAGTAAATATGCTTCAGTTTATTATAACTGCTGACTATTAGTATGACCACTTACACTTCAGCTTTGTATCAAGTTACTTATATAAATCAATTTATAAAAATGAAAATATTGATGATCATCCACAAACAGAATAATACGTTAATTGGTATCATTTGATATATATTAGTGTTCTAAGGTCCAGACAAACATTTGAATGAGTTCAATGGGTTATTAACCGTTCAATTGTAGTTCCAAAACAAAAAAATTCATTTTTTAAAAGAATTATAAAATGTTTCCATCTTGGTCAGTCAGTCAGTAACAACGTAGAACTTCGTTCGTATGTACATCAGTTCAAGTTGTCATACCACATTAGTACAGAGATACAATTGTCGATTTAAATCCCATAATGGTAGAGGTAGTAAAAGTATAAGAAGTAATCGGAAAGATTAGGGTTCGAAGATGTTATTCAAGGAGTATAATCTGGGGAAATAAATTTGGAAAGAAAAAAAAGGAGACATGAAGAATTCAAAAGATCAGAATTTGGGAGAATACAAGGAGTGGACGCACCTGCTCAAATGAAAATGATTTCGAGCCATGTCATTCAAGGTATCTAACTATCGGTGCTAACGTCTAGCGGATCACAACTAGGTAGTCTACATCTACTAAAATGGCTCAGTCCATTTGTCAGTGACTTCATGGATTTGGCCTGGCCCCCCGCTAGCTTTTTTCCAACCTACTCCTACACCATAAAACATCTTAGATGGAATAATAATTCGACTTAAGAATAATTTACATTGTTAAGGTGAACTATACTATTCAATAAGATGTATTATGCAGTCTTCAATGAGGTTAGTAGTAACTTATAAGGTACTTCACATCTCAGTTGAAATTTACTAGAGTTAGATATGAGTCACAATGTTTTTCATCACATTTTCTGTAACGTTATTGTGAAAGGTTTCTTGTTTTGATGGACTTTTGTTCTCTGAGCTGGATGGTTTCATCGTGGAGCCTCAGATAGAAGTTTGTGCTGATGATATCGTTCAGACGAACGATGAAAGCTCCACAACCAAAGCATCCAGCTCAGAGAACAAAACGCCATCAAAATCATCCACCTGAGCTACAAATCTTCTCCAACATCTCAAGATTTCTCGTTCTAAACAGTCAAATGTGTCAGTGTAGATTTATTTACAGTTTTGATAAAAACATCATATCCCATGTTAAAGGTTAATCTTCTTGTAGTTTCACGGGGTGTCTTATTTTAGATGTTAGAAAAAATCAATTTGCGTTAACTACCATTTGATAACTTCCGTTTCATTGAAAGTCCAGAAATGGTTACCTTTTGGCATTCATGGCTATTAGGAATTTTCAGAAAACCTATGAGAAAGCATCTTAATCTCCGTTCTTTGTAAATATTTTCTTCGTAATTTCATTAGATTAGTCAATTTAGCACGTTGTCATTAATCATCTCAATATATTTGGTCTTAATAGGATTTGAAATTTCGAGTCAACGGGAGAAAAGTCTATTTTTCTAATTACTTAAACGTAGCTTATATTAAGCAACGAATTAAAACACGGACAATTTCAGTTGAATAGTTCTTTTGCTTTATAAGTAAACACGTTGTTATGTATCTGTTTAGAAATGTCAATAAAGTAAGAGATATGCGCCAAATAAATCATTCGATTTATGTGAGGGATGGGATTACTACCTGGGTGCCCAAACCGAAGCAGGTGATATTCTTAGGGGGTCACACCCCAAGCTTTTGACCCAAGGTCCAATCCACAAAGCAGTGGAACAACGTCAGGTGATTCAGTCCCATGTTAACCGGTGACCAACATTTGGTTCACACACAAGCTGTTTCCTTAGGATACTAGAGCTCTTGTACACCAATGGTTTGGAGTCAGGGTTTTCCAACTCTCCCAGGTGGATCCTCCTTATCCACTAACCAGGTTAAAGCGCGAACATTCGCTTTTTCATCCTCTCACTTTCGTAAACAACAGTAATGCCGCAAGAAGGCAGTGAATAGGATTTCCCTGGAATTGGGTGTATGCACGTGGCCACTTGAGAACATTTCGAGAGGGAATGCTGACTCTCTCCACTCTTGGCTGTCCCAGGATATTTGGGAGCAATAAAATAACTGTTGTAATTTTACAGACATTTTTTGATGGTTACTTAGAACAAATAGTCTATGTTTTATCAAATAGTTGGTAGTATTAGAAGAGTTAGTTACTTATTGTTGTTGTTTAATAATAAAATAGTATTTTTAATCCAACTAGTACCCATAAGTATTTTGAGATTTAAGTTAATTTATAATAATAACAAGACAGATCAATGTTTTAACCATTTATTTACTTTTGATTGAAGTTTATAGATTAGAGAGATAGAGAGACCAACTTTAACAACATGTCGAACTGAGGGTTATCCAGTTTCTTAACGAGTTCGTTACTTTTAGACCAAGATATTTAAAATAGAACAGTTCATATTCCCAACACTAAAAACCTTATTCTACATTGACCGATATTGTTTGCAAATAAAAATTAGTAACTAACAATATCAATATTCTTTAATAGTTTATTCAAACAGACAAATTTCTTTCTTTCTATAATTAATGCTTTGCTTTACAAATGTCATATTATGGTGTGTGCTACTTATATTGATATAAGTAGTATATGAAGCGAGTCAGGAATGTAATGTCTGGCAGCAGAAAATGGGGAAGATCAGGAAAGGAAGAGTGGGAATAGAAAGCAATTAGTATTGAAATGCAAGAACAACGAAGTTCGGGACAATTACTGAACATTTTGCAAATTAAGTATTATAGTATGGTTTTTCTATTTTACCCAGTAGCTCTACACTTTCGTTTTAAGCCCGTGTTCTGTTCACTACGATATCATTGGTGTTTACATGATGGTTCCAAATCGTAATTCAATAGTCAATATTTATCAGTAAGAAATCATACGAAAGATTTCAAAACGTGTTACTTCCCCCTTCCATCAGGTCTCTTTTAAGACATTGAAACTTCTCAAGAAAACTGAACATTAGAGACGATATTAGTGTAATATATCTTCAAATGTCGATCCGGTTCATAACTTAGATTGTTTAGCAAGTGAGTTGATTCCACGAATGCTGTAATAGTACTTTCAGCTTTATATTTATTGTTACATCTCATAAGAACATTATCCACTACATGTATTCTTTACCATTTTGAATAGCCAACTAAACATAACTATCTTAAATTAATAACTTCAAACTTAACTGTTTAGTTCTGTATGGTCACATACTGTGAATGTGACATCTACATGAAATGAGTTCAAATTGTATTCGATTAACAAATTTAAAATAATTTTTATAAAAAACATACATACTACTAAAGTGTCATTAAACACCTACCCAGTAACAGTAGCTTTATACAATTTACTTCCATCTTTTTATATATTGATATTTGTCTATCTATCTTTTGTGATATTTTGTCAACTTTTTTTCTGGCTTCTTTTTGACTATCTTGTTCTGAATCACCTTTAAAACACATAGAACAAGTGAAATTCATGAAGATGAAGAATTCACTATCATATTATATCCATTGAACATGATCCTTTCTAGTTTAAAACATGACATATTATGATGTAACTTCCAAAGACTGATGATCATATGTTCCATATTTCTGATATCATAATTTTTTTTGGAACAAACTCTATTTAATACTTAAATGAAATTCAGTAAATTCCCCCCCACCTCCTCCCAAAAATATACTATAGAGTATAACTCCAAATCATAATTATTGTGCCGATATGGTTATTCACAACATGTATCATTATCCATTTCTAAACAGTTAATATTGGATCTAACCAATAAGAAGAGAGAGTGTAATTCTTCTTCAACTGATTGGGTTAATTAATATTAGTACAATATAATTGATATACACATATATTGACATGAACTAATCATGTATATAAATATAAATACATTTACATGTATGAATAGGCACATTTATTTAATATCAGCTGTTTCAATTGAACTTAAACTGTACAATAAGGTGTTTTAATTTATTTTTGTTTCTGAAGGCGGTTTTTCATATGTTAAAATGATGCATTTAATTTAAAATAATGATTTGTTTGCTTTTTGAGCCTTGGTTAATATCAACCAATCAAATGTCTGTGTTGTGACCAATGAAATTCAAGGAAAATGTTTCGATTTCACCATTCAATATAATTTAGAATAATCTATAACATTAGATGGTGGTTGGAGGTAGTCTACAGGAAACCCTGGACCCGGGTTTCGTGCTACTTGGCACTCGTCAGCAAGGTGTACCTGTAATCTTGAGGGAACTGGTGCTCCCTGGCGGATTCGATTTCGTGTCACCCAGCTTCACAGTCAGAGACGTTACTACTGGTCGATAGCATTCGATCTGCACTAATAAGGACTAGACACGCATGAAATTGATCGCAACCCAATGATCAATCAATTATGAATGTATAATATTAACGAGTTAATTCAAGACATTTAGTTGAATGAATAAATTTGATAAATACGGCATAGAATTCATTTGGCATTGTTCATTTGAATCTTCCCATTGATGTTTAGGACTACATTTGATCAGCTTCTTAATGGCATATGTGCATACTGTGTATTGCCTTGATGTAGTCTTAATTCACAAACATCATTTGCAAAGATGGATGGCGGTTAGCAATGGAATCCAGGATTCGCGTTTCGTCCTATTTGGGAATCGTCATCTGGATGTACCTGCATCTCAGAGTTCACTCTGGGACTCGAACTTAGTGCCGTTCGCTTCAAACGCCATCACGTTTGATCACTGATCACTGATGACTGATCAATTGTAGTCCTAAACATCAATCGGAAGATTCAAACGAACAATACTAAGTGAATTTAAGCTTCACCCAACACAGAATCAGGACTCAGTAGTTAATAGGAAAAAGTGATGGTGTTTGGAGCGAACGGTACTAAGTTCGAGTAACGGAGCGAACATCAACTCTAGGATGCAGATATATCCAGTTAACAAGTCCCAAGTAGGACGAAACACGCATCCTGTTTCCCACTGCTAACCACCATCCATCTTTGCTTATAATGCTAGTGATTTAAGGTAATATCGAGGCAATCCGTACAGGATGCAAATATTCCAATAAGAGACTGATCAATTACATTCCTAAACAACAATGTGAAAATACAAACAAACAGTACTAGGTAAATTTAACAGTAGAATATGTTTATACCTTATCGTTTGAGGATGTTAGTTACTTCGCTGAATAATTAAAAAAAACCATTTAATGTAAAAATAAGCACTGAATAACATTGAGTACACTTTAGTTTTTATTTTGAAATATCTAGACGAATTATTTACTGTGTTCTGTGGAGACAGTTTCATAATTTGATTTTTGTGACATTATGAACTAACAACAAATGTATAACTATTTAATATACCAAAAGAAACTGCTTGGATGATGTCAGTTGTAAGATTACAGATATAATACATTCAGTTGTACTATGTCTACCTTAAATTTCACTGTTTCGGGAATTATTAGTTGATAAGTCAGAGTGAATACTTCGAATTATCATATAGATATAGATAACAATTGTCTTTACAATATGAAATAAACTAAAACAATGTTTTCATAAATATTTTCATTCTTTCCTGTTTATCTATCCTTTTGTTAGTGTCAGGTCTTTTTGGAGCTAATGTTTATTAGCACCACAATTAATGTCGGGCGCGTTGATGAGAACCGAGGTTTAATAAGGTTTAATAAGAGATCGTTGGTAAACAATGAGGTCACATGAAGATCTATTATGGCCTCCTATGAAACTACGGACAAAGACGCTTTTCAGTTTCACCATGCCATGTCAACTTCAGTACAGATTGTTCAGCTCCGTTGATGATTCACTGACTTAGAGAGATCAGAATAACCAATCTGATAGATTTTAGCCAATAAAATGGTGTTTAGTACAAGGTCAAACGCTTTGGTAAAGTCAGGGAATAGTCCACGTGCAGGCAGTTTCTGATCTTGATTCTCTGTACAACTGTCCTATGTTGACAAGGCGTTTATGTAATGTGACTTCTCTTTTCCGAACTCATGATGTGGTTTGTAAAATAATTTATGGACATTTTGTCGTACACCAAGCTTTCAAACGTAATCAAGAGTCCTAGAGGCAGTAACACCAGTCTACAATAGTTTTAATGCTTTATGTTTCCTCTGCTGAAAATCACAGAGAGGATCAGTAATTTCCTTTTGGAACTGCTTAGAGATTTACAAGCGTCAGGACAGGTCACTTATTACAGTATAAACGAATTAAGCTCATATTTTTAAAATGGCACGGTATATTTCATTGCAGCCTGTCCAATTTTTGGATGTAGGTTATTTTGTGCAGTATTCCCCACTATTATGGTTGTCGATTAATCGTTTTAACATTCACAGCCTTATAAGTGATTAATTTGTTTGTCACAATGTGTGTTAAATACTTCAGCAGTTTCGAGGTTAGTGATAGTCACGCCTAGGAACCTTATAAGTGAAATAACCCTGTTTTATTTATTTTCTTTAAGAAATAAATTGGTACATGTAGTTAATGTTTTGCTGTTCGCGAAGACCTTCTATCTTTCTATAACCTAAGTGCACACCTATTTCTTAATGTCATGTATAAATCATGATGGCAGTCTCTCCATGAGGTCCGACATCTGTTTCTGGTACTTAATACAGTCATAGCCATTTTGTATTCCTCCACCGATAGACGTCTTTCCCATTACGTGATATGGGAAGGCCTTTCCTCTTGTTTTGTTGTCGCTCATTAGTGATAATGAATATGGAGTGTGGCCTTTGTTGTCACATGACGTACACATTTTGCGTCATGTAACCACTACTGTACACGTTATCTAAAATGCTTCTCTGAGTTCTATATCGAGTTTTTCAAGGACTTCTGGCTGAACATACAAATTCTTCACTTGTGAAATCCCTCCTTCCTGAGTTATGACATTGACTAGGTGTTCTCATATTCTTGGTGTAGGAACTGGTCAGAATGTTAGTACTGTGTATGGTACACAATGAACGAAAACAACAGAAGTAGTAGTGTATCGTACTTATGTCGACAGATATAAGTATTATGTAACACTAATCAGTAGTGCAGTGCTTGGTAGCAGAAGGTCGAGAAGACTGAATCGAAGAAAACAGGGATGTAAGTAGACAGTTATTGTAATAACAACAAGAATGAAGGAACGATGAAGTTTGTAAGAAACAGCTAATGGAAGATGTGCAAATGAAGTATTATATGTGTGGTTTTCATAATTTGCAAAAATACTCTGTAATTTCGAACTGAGAAAACGGTTTACCCCACTTGAGTGTACGTCCATTACAGTGTGGGGGAGTTCAGAAAGGATAAGGAAGTATACAAAATAAAGACAAGAGAAGACAAGAGAATCCGTAATGAACAACAGTGTAACCTTAAAATTGCAACTTTATCTTTGACTGTCTTAATTAGTAGCTTTGCTTGCTTCTGGTAGCTATTTTACTAGTGTTATATTTGTAGTTGACTGCGTTTGTAATTGTCCTATTTACAGCTACAAAAAAAGCAATTGATCTAAACAACAGTGATATTTCCTGTATTAATTTTCGTAAAGAAATAAAAGTAATGGGTTAATGTGATAATTAGAAGTATTTTAATGGTTGTACAAACTGTGGATCCCATAAATAACACAACTTAAGCCACGAAGAACGATATGCACACGAACGAACGTATTGTATTTGGAATTCAAAATCAAATACAAAGGAATCATTAGTTCATACAAACACCAAATCTGCCACAGTTTAAATTGGAGTATAAGGTTGTATAATCAACTGTACGTCTTCTACTTATATTCGTTCTATGTCTGTCCGACAGTGTTTTGGATACAGACTCTCCATTATCTAGAAAGTACTCATTAGTATCAAAATTAGCGACAAAAATTAAAATAGACTCACCTGGCTAATAGAATTGTATTTGATCAGCATGTCAGTTATATATACTTAAGATATAAATATCTAGAATTCGCACCATAGATTGCCCGGCATTCTTCACCACAATCATCGCGGCTAGTCGAAGACCGTTTGCACGATAATACGTAACTTCTGAAGACTCCAAACACCTCATATTCAAACGAAGAATTCTTACTTTTAATAGTTTTGATGGAGCGTCTTTCGTCACAGAATGGTTAACATTTCTGTATTGCAGTAGAAATGTGTTTACTCCCCTCTCTAGTCCGTTAAATGTTGAAGCAGCAATAGAATCAATAGCAATTTTCAATGTCCCGACAAAATGTCTGCCTGACCATTAAAACAAGGGTGCCTGGGAGCAGTGAATAGACGTCTGCACCCTATAACATTCAACCAGGTAGTAGGCATCTGCAGCAAAATGAGAGCCACAATCAGTCACTAACAGCATGGGAACTCCTTTTCGACTAAGCACTTTTTCTTAATGCTTGGGTTGCTAAGTTAAAATTTGGTGAAGTTGTGAAAAGAAATTTAGGCCACTTTGAAAAAAAATCAATCACTTTAGGAGCATAGTATTTGC